GCAGACGAACGCGCGGATCCCTGGGACGGCGTCTTCCGCAAGCCTGTGCCTGCGCCCGCGGGCGCGCCGCTGTGGTTCGCGGACCCTCCGCAGGCGGCGCTGCACTCCGTGCTGGGGATGCACGACGCGGAGGACGGCGGAGTGTATCGGTGCATCGACTGCGGGCACGAGATCTGGGACGGGACGTGCTCTGCGTGCGGGCGGGTGTACCCTGGGCACCGCCATCGCCTCCACCACCCGTGGGACGAGGACGGGGACGGGGACGAGTCGGATAGCGACGGGGAGGACGGGGCGGGGATGGTCGGGTGGCTGGATGGGATGCTGCCCAGGGGGCTCTGGTGGGGCGCGGGGGCGCATGGTGGCGCGGATGGGGAGGGGGACGAGGACGGGGAGGAGGATGGGGATGGGGATGGGGACGAGGGAGACGTGACGGACGTGGACGACGAGGAGGGCTTCGTGCAGGGGTTCATGCCCGTCGTGAGGACTCGCCTCTTTGGCGGCCTTGGGAGCGGGTCTGAGGGCGAGGGCGAGGGCGAGGACGACGAAGCTGGGTACGAGAGCAGTTTCATTGACGACGAGGGTGCGGAGGAGGGTCTCACGGGAGAGTGGCCGAGAGCCAGTCCACCCCCGGATGATCAAGATGGGATCGCTGACGACGGTGGTGCGGGAGAGGAGGATGGGGAGGAGGAGGACGGCGGGGAATACGTGCCGTCCGCTCTCGCGCGACGCAGTCAGTTCGTCGTGCACAGCGATGAGGAGGAGGATACGCCAAGCGAAGACGACGGCGGGGATTCAGGCAGGTGCGTGTGCGTTGTGATGCTGTCTTGGTTCGATCAGTACTCACCTTCTCTTGTAGTGATGACGGTCTGGCGAACGCAGTAGCCGATAGGGAACGGTAAGGTTTCGCCACCTAGACTCAACGTCCGATATCTCAGACTCTTCACGCCAGGTATATCTACGGAGATGACGGCTCCGTCTCGCGGAATCTCGTGTGCAGTTCGTCGCCCATCCACGTGTACTCTGACGAGGATGACGTCGCGGACGAAGGACACTTTCCGCTCTACGACGACGAGTTCGCGGGCTCCGAGGATGGCGACGAGCACTCCGGTGCGCCTGTCGAGCCAATCGAAGGACATTGGGACGACGAGGTCGAGGTCGAGGTCGGGGATGACGAAGAGGTGGAGCATTTTGGCTATGGAGACGAGGAGAGCGTGCACGGCGACGACGGGCCTGCGAGCGGGGATGAGTACGAATACGGTGACGCGCTATGGTGAGGCGAGTGGCCGTGTGCTAAGTACGCTACGTGTACAGTTAATTGGTTGCTGACATCCTATGAGAGTGGACTGGCCAGTCCTGTTATTCGTGCAGCAGCTCGTTGCCCGTCGTGCTAAGGTGCTGGATTTGCGGGGTAATCACGCGAACCTCAATGAGATTGCGTGTCTTATTGCTGTTCTTGTTTTCTGCGCTCGCTCACTGGCATTCCAGAGCAAAGTATGATACGATCTCGTTCACGACAACGTATGACCACGAGCGAGTAGCTGAGCCGCCAGCGATAGCGTCGAACGCCGGGGGCTTGAACGCGAGGGAGAGGTCGCTCAGGACGCCGCCGAGCATGTCGATCGTCGTGAACGGCGCGAAGATCCCGACGACCTCGCGGTGCACGTAGATTTCGTAATAATATTGAGGGCTCCGACGCGGACATCGGCAGTTCATCCGCGGATAGATAAGGTGAGGGAGCATTAGGAGGGAAATGAGGGGTGAGCAGAGCTCGGTACACGGGTAGAGCGGACGTGCATCGTTACCTACGCCCATGGTTATCTTGCATCGAGCGTCGGGCGTCGACGCGTCGTAACAGTAGCTCGACAGTCGAGTTGAACACACCAGAGACGAGGACCGCAATTTGACTAGCAACACGAAGATGTAGAAAGCGTGAATCCAGATGATGTACACGCGTTGGTGGACGGAATCAGCCACAAAAGGACGACCAGGGCACGTAACCTAGTTCTTCACCTTCTTCATAATCTCTCCCACCATTCACACTCTGGTCCTATGGAGACATCGAGTTAACAGAGACTCTGGCGGGAATGGAATGAGACACACCTGGCTGAAACCGTAGAGCACCGCGGGAACATGTCTTCACCATCATCCGCGAGATCTCGGGCAACATACGAGTCAATCGCTCCAGCTGGTATGAGTAAATCTCGAAGACGACTTCCCCAGGATTGAATCCTATACGAGAGACGCAACGATCGAGTTGGCTCAGGTGCAGCTTCCGCAGCTTGAATGGGCAGTTGCTCATGACAATCAGCCTCGTCAGGAAGGGAAGCTGGAAGTGTTCAACCGCCAGCGATAACCAGCGAAGGTCGCGTCCGTAAGCTTCGAAGCGAAGTGTCTTAATATTTATGTTGTTGCATAGACCCGGGAACGGGTCTGAAAGAAGATGTGTTGTTTGTCAGTACAGTACAGGTGATGGGATGTTGGAACACCAGAGATACCTACTTGGATAGTTCGACGCGCCGACTGACATCTTTGATGTATCGCCGATGAACAGGTGTCGTAGCGAAGGGCCCGCTCTATCACAGAGTCTGCCAACATTCTGGATCTGATCCATTGACCGGGGAAAGACGCGGAGTGTGTCAAGAGCTTTGGGGTCGATGATAGTGAGCAATCCATCGAGGAGCTCCTCGGAGAAGTCCATATCGCGAATCGACAAGTCATGGATGTGCAGCAATCCTGTCGTCGATGGGGTAAATGGGAGGCTGCTTCCGTCATTGTCCCAACTGACGAATTCGCATATGAGCGTTGTAAGACTAGGCAGTGATATGAGCACATAGCCCAACGCAGACAACGATGGAAGCGCGACGTCGGAGATCTGAAATCTTGTGACGGACGTAGCCTTGTAGAGAGGAGCGGAAGGAACCGCGCAATGTCTCCATTCGGTCCAGTGTAGGCACTGCAGACGTGGAAAAGCCGCACATAACCGAATGAATGTCGTCAGGGACGGGAAAGTGATACCAGAGATCGTCCACGTCCGTACCGAGGTGAACGTAGAAAGCGCGGAGAAATGAAGTGGTCGTAGTAGCAGATTGCCATTGTGTTCCCGTCGGCCCTGCAAGCGGAGTTGCACCATTCTAGGGAGCTTGTGAGCGAGGAGTAAAGGGAATGTCTGCCAGCCAGCGTCGTCGATGTCTATGTTGAGCTCGAAGACATTGTTACCCCAGTGGCTGTATTTAGTCAGAACACGGGAAAGGGCTTGAAGCTCGTTCCGCCCGCAGAGCGTGACAGTAGTCCACAGATGCATCCGACTGCGGGGAAGCCATGCTTTGCAGACAAGCGAACATGCCCGTAACGAATCGCGGCACGTCACAAAGTCCCATTCACGGACCCCGTAGCCTACGGCATCGATGATTCGATCGCATAGTTCGCCAGGAACACTCGTGCCTCGAATTTGGGATCCAGGATCGATCCCAAACGCAGCTGGTCCCTCATTGTGTGCGGCAATGTGTTGCATCTGTGTATATCTGGATCAGATTTGTGCTCTAAGCTGCGCGTTCCAAGGTAGTAGTTAGCATACCTGCGATAGGGGAGAATGCCAGCACTGGTCATGTCCGAGGTGATAGCGACACTCTTATGGTTGCCAGGCCTCGGAGTTGATCGGTTCTTGGTGGTCCTCGACCTGTATGGGTGGGCAGCAATAGACGGAAATTAGCATCACATCTTCGCTAGTTCGTGGTGCTATAACGGTACATTAATATGAAAGACGACCGCACAAGAGGCGACAGGTGCATCCAGGAGGATTTCGCTGATAACGGGCTCATCACCCTCAAAAAGTATTTGAACCCAAGTACAGAGAAATGACTGGAGCACGCGCATTTGCAGACGCAGGGTCTCGCTCATAGCCCTACACCTGTGCGAATGATAACGGCACTCAGCGTCTGTCCTTTCACTTCCGATTGGCAGCGGATGAATACCTCTTCTGTTGTTGTACAAGGTTCTGTAACACCGCATTGCAGAGGAACGAAGAAAATGGTGTGTGTACTCCTGTCAAAAGTGTGTCACTACATCCAGAAAGACTGCGAGGATGCGGAAGATGGCATACTAGACTAATCAGCTCCATCGCCGTTGCGGAGGCTTGCCACTGGACACAAAAGACTAGGACTGGCCTCTATTGCTTCGATATCAGATGCTGGTACAGACAACAGTGTCGAACATTCACGCACCACGGCGGTGCTCTGGACCGCGTACTCGTCTTCAGTGACGCAGTTATGCACTCCTTGCAGGACCATTTGCAGCAACATCCAAACAGTCCGGCGTAGTTTCTAGTAATACCAGACATATCCCCGCACATCTTGAAGGTACCGACGCAGACTGTACGACGGGACTCCGTTCTACTGCCTCGGATCCAATCTGCCTGAGCAAGTTCGCGGCGATTATGCTGCCACAGCCACACAACGGTGTAAGCAGTGCGTACCGGGGGACTGGGACAAAACGAGACCGTCATCGACTAGCCGCTCCTGATTAAATGGTTGCTGTGCAAGCTCTGATAATATTGAAATGACACAGCCTGTTTGACAGTCACATCAGTCTCGAATCCAACGCACTGGGAACGGTACAACATATCCTAGTGCCGTACGAGCAATCGGAACCCTAAACAGGGTTTCAGTGGTCTATGTCGCGTGTAGAAGGACACACTTCCAATGCAGGTTTAACAAGCAGCCGGACTGAGTTTGTTTCCGAATAGTTGTGTGGTCGACCGCGCAGCGGAGTATTCAAGCCGCGCACTATGCAGAGACAGGGCTGATACCCTCGAAGTACATCCGCGTCCTCCCCTTCATGACCCAAACCTTGAAGTTCTAGAGAGGCTTTGCGTGGACCTCGGAAGTTCAGGCCACCGCCGGACCATAGATCCGTGACGACGATCTCCTCGCGATCGCTGGGCACTAGCACTCGTTTCGCCTTGAGCGGGGGCTTTGTAATTGAAGCAGGACAAGGCAAGGCCGTCGCTGTTGGCGGCCTCTTGGAGATTCGGTGGCGGCGCCAGAACACCATTGGATTGGGCCCACGCTCCGAAATTGTCCCGCAAAGAACAACTCCCTTTCGTGCACTGACACGGTGTCCATAAGTTGGTCCGGTGAGGCTCACGGGAACCCAAGTACCATGCTGACAGAGTTCAGTCTTTGCACGGCCTCCGGATGTACCATGCTCGTTTATCAGCGCGTGCCTTCGGTACTGATCGTAACTCCGGCGTGAGGCACTCACGCATCGAACCAGAGACGTCTGCACACATTACACTCGGATTGCATCACCATGCCCCCACTAACACATCTTAAAGCACTGATTCATACCCGTACGTCGAAAGAGTGTCCTTTGTCTCGAGTCTATCTGCAGTCAAATGTCAACGCGGGCGGGTCATACGAGGAAATGAACATACATCTATGGTTCGAACACTATGTCCGCCCCTTCTGTGTAGCGACACAAGTCTCCCGCCCACCGTCCACTGACGGCTCCGCTTCCTGGACCGTACCCGACCGTATCGAGCTTCCGGAGAGTCTAGAACGAGCACGGCGGCCCGCCTGGGGATGATCCTCGACGTGTTCGCATTCGTCCGGAGCCACGGAGGGGGAGGCAGCAGCAGCGGCCCGCCGCCCCCGCCGCGTCGCGAGCGGATTCAGGATGGCCGCAGCGAGGAGGACGAGCCCGTTGAAGAACTGCAGAAGCGGGGTCAGCACGCCAGCGCCGAGGAGGCGTGAGAGGGCGGAGCAGAAAGGAGGGCAACGTACGACGACGAGCGAGTAGCTGAGCGCAGCGAAGGCGTTGAGTCCGGAATCCCTTCTGCAACAACCAAAGCAGGTTCACCCTCCGTCTTGAAGTACGTGTCATCTTCGTATTGAACCCGTTTCATGCCAACAGTGGTTTCAGATAGCGCCGAACTTTGTAATACATCACTGCAGCGTCCCCCCGCACCCAGCCTACGACCAAAGTCAGCTTGCGCGACAACCAGCACTGAGCAAAAGCAGCCACACCATTCTAGTCTACCTACAAAACCCGTCCCAACCCTCCACGCACTCACCCCTCCTCCGCATCCCTATCCGCATCCCCCGGCGAAGGGCGACTGCTACTCGAGCGCAACGACGCCCTCGTCGACAGCGTAACCGCCTCGGCATCCCTGCCCGCCGACGGAGACCGAGGTAGGCTCTCTGGATCGCTGGCGAGCTCCCTGGGTGCAGGAGCCGCCAGTGATGCGGCAGCGGCACGCTTGCGGCGTCGCTTCGCGAGCGGGTTGAGGATCGCCGCCGCGAGGAGGACGAGCCCGTCTAAGAACTGCAGCAGCGAGGTCAGCACGCCAGCACCGAGGTGACGTGAGAGGGCGGAGCGACGCACGACAACGAGCGAGTAGCTGAGCGCGGCGACGGCGTCGAACGGCGGGGGCTTGAACGCAAGCGAGAGGTCGCTCAGGACGCCACCGAGCATGTCGATCGCCATGAACGGCACGGAGATCCCGACGACCTCGCGGTGCACGTAGATCTCGTAGTACTGTGGGCTGCGCCGCGGGCGACAGGAGGAGAACGAGCGGTGAGCCAGCCAAACAGTGTAAACGGGCAGAGCGAACGGACGTACAAGAGTGCGAGCGAGAGTGTCACCGATGATACTATCCCAACCGCCTCCACCGCACGCCCCTCCCCCCGCTCATACGCCGGCTACCACACGTCAGCCCCTCCCTCACTCAACATCCATGGAACTCCACGCACCCGCACCGCATACACCACCCCGACCTGAAACCCCGCCAACGCCGCGAGCGCCGCCACATACAGCGCGCCGCACACCGCGCGTGGGCAGCGCACAGTGCCATAGTACAGGCACTGCGCCCACGCCGCGAGGCACAGCGAGCCGAAGAGCTGCGGCTGGAGGACGAGCGGGACGTTGAGGTCCCGCACGATTGCATACACGCCCATGAACCCCGCGGCGACGCCCCACAGCAGCCTGCGCGACGCACAATCCACAGCGGTCGGGGTTCAGGGGAGGGGGAGGAAAGGAGTCAGCGCGGGGACGGGGATGGGGAGTGAGAGGACGTACACGAACCACGGGGAGAGCCCCTCCGTCGACTTCGTCCGCCAGCTCTTCCAGATCTGCGGGACGAGCTGCACCGTCCAGCAGAGCGCGCCCAGCGTCCCGAGCGCGTTCTCCGCGGCCGCGTTCGTGTACATCCGAGTCGTCCCTCCGTCGCCTCAGCGCGCGCCGAAACGGTGTCTTCGAGCAGCGCGAGTGTTTGTGTGATAGTAAGGGCGATATCTGGGGCTTCTGTGAGGTGGCCCGGAGTCGATGCGTGCCACAGCCTGAGACCGGTACTTAGAGTCAACGTATGTTGGGAAAGGGATGCACGAGCACCCACCTCTGCGCCTCGGAGCAATACTTCGTTGTCAGAACGCTCGCACTCGTCCTCTCGAGCTTATGTCTTGAGACATAGAATGCGGGCAGAGAGCACGGACATGTCCGCAGAGTCGCAGTCAGAGTGCAAGGCGCGCCGGGCGGGTCGCGCTGCTCGTCCGGGCTCCGGTGCGCGTGCGGATAAGGCAAGTGTGGAGGTAGCGGGCTACTTAGCCTCCCGCACTTCGTCAGAGCTACGAACGCGAATCGAGCACAGTCATAAGCTTAGACACAAGAAATGATATTACAGGAGCATATGGTATACTAAATCGGTACAGAAGCCAAGCAACGCATCGAACTCGGAGGCCGCATCCACGCCTACGCCCTGCTTCCACCCGTGATGCCCGTCCCATCCGCATCTACGCCCGTCGTGCCCGTGCCCGCTGTCTGCGCGGCGCCGTCCGTAGCGTGTGCGGGGCCGGCAGAGAGGTCGGTGGAGCCCGCGCGGCTGCCTGCGCGGTCAGCCGCGTGCTGATGGATCTGGGCGAGCTTCGACTCGCGGACGGCCTATCGAGAGGTGTCAGTGCGTGGACGGAAGTGGTCGTGCAGGCAGAAGGAGACGGCGATGGGACCAGCCGGCTGCGTGCACCACAAGCCGGACGGAGCGAACCGTTCGACGCATCGTTGATTGACTCACACGGACAATCGACAGACGCTACGACAACGACGAAACCGCGGAAACACCGCGGGCAAACCAGGTTGTTCCAACTCCGTAAACCCCTACGAACATCAGTCCCGCCTGGGAACCTTTACGGACTCCGAATATTGTCAGAGCATGCTGCGAACATGATGCATTTCAGCCGATTTCAGCATGTTCGGAGGCCAAACATGCGTGTTTTCGGCGAACATGCTACGAACATGAGAAATGCGGGAGCATTTTCGGAGTCAGTCAAGCTCTCCGAAAAGGTTCCCATGGAGGACCGATGTTATTAGCATCTTCGGAGCCCGAAAAACCTGGTTTGCCCGCGGTGAAAGTGAAGGAAGAACGGCGTACTCACATCACTAGCAGCCTTCTTCTGCTGGACCTCGTCGACCGAGGCCTTGCGCTGCTGCAGGTCCTGCTCAAGGTGGCCCGCCTGCTGCCGCTTCAGCTGCACACCGAGAGCCCATGATCAACAAGGGCTGCACAGAAAGAGCGGACACAACGCACCTCGAGCGTCTTGTACGCGTTCCGCTGGGACGAGATCGCATCGTCGTGCTTGTGCTCCGCCTGGTTCAGCGCCTTCGCGGTGTCGTTCTCGTTCTTGACCGCCTTGTCCAACATATGCTGCGCCTTATCCGCCGCCTGTCCGCCCCCATCAGTGCCCGCCCACCCGCAGCCCTAGCACACGCAAGCGCACCTTGCGAGACTTGTCGTGTGTCTTCTCGAGCTTGGAGAGGTCCTTGAGCGCGTGGTCGACGGTCTTCTGCTCGTTCTTCGCCTCCGTCGCGATCATCTTCTCGAGCTGGCGCGTCTCGGGGTCCTCCGACGTGCTGCCCGACGTGCTCGACTTGAAGAGGCCCATCGTCGTGCGTGCGTGCAAATACAGGGGGTGAGGAGGGAAAGTGGTCGTAAAAGGTCGTTACAGTGCGTGCAGGATTGGTGGGAGAGGGAGGTGCATGGGCGAACGGGGCGGGACGCTTTATGACGCAGGGTGGCTGGCGGTGACGCGTGAGGAGGCGCGCGGGGCGTGACGTCACGCGTTCCTGTCCCTCGCCCCGCGGTGGCTGCCCGTGCTACAGAGTCACGAGTCACGACGATACTATGGGACTGAAGATAAAGAACCTCGTTGAATGAATGTAAGCGAGAGCGACGATGCGGTAAAAGTCAAGGAACGTACCGAAGTGCTGTGTACGACCGGCAATTGCAATGCACGGTAGACTGGTACACACCAACACCCTTGCGGCGTGTTAAGGCGCCAACCGATGGGCAGATGTCTGCGAACATCAGTGTAAACAGCACAACACTGGACTAATGTTCATATGCCCCCTCGATGGGAGACCATCTTGAACGCACCCAGACGATACCTAGCGCGGCGGTCACTATGCCTAGGCTGATAAACAGCAAGCCAGACTAAGTTGTGATCCCACATCCAAGATGCGTCGAAAGACTATGGCGCGGCGCTGTCACAATGGCCCGCAGAGTCGCAGTCGACGTCTGGACGTGATTTGAGGCAATCCTATTGCCCAATCTTCAATACAACATCAGTACAACTTCACACACTTCACAATCCATCACCTCCCCGCCCCCGCAATCGCATCCGCCCATTCCTTCACACTGCGTGAAACTTTCGATCCTTCGAACGAAAGATTGAGAAAGAGGTATTAATCTTCCCACGATATTTCGACCAATAAGATTGAGAAATCTGGTTTAAAACAATAACATGAACCTCTGGGAAGTGATTGTTGAGAATGGATACAAGACAGATTGTGGACTTAAATGTCTTCAATCCCTCTATAATAGTCTGTTGCAAGTGATTGAGTTGATGGAATAAGATACTGCCCCAATACAACACACTCCCATTATTCTAGAAGGATAACAGACAAATCTGGATATTGCTGTCTTTGACATTTATGTAACAACTTGCTGTGGATTGTGAACATGAGATTAGAGACAATTCAAGCTGCTGGGTCTTTAAAATTTCTTGGACAAGCCTAGAAGAATTGTGGATGAGCTGTGGCAAAACAACCATGCCAGTGATTTCTGAAATCTGACTACATGAAGGATTGATAACATGTTTTCTATCACCATTTGTACATATACAGCTGACAAGTAAGAGAGAGATGAGTAACTGATCGTGAGAGATGCTTGCCTCAACACAGTTTCAATACTTTGACAAGTTTTCATCTGCAGCAGGTTTTCAACAATTCATGATTCATAATATCACAAAGAGATCAGAAAGCATTCTTATCAATGTGATCTTCCATCATATGTCTCAGATAGTTGGACAAGGATTGAAGAACAGAACTAGGAGGATTGCAAACAGATTGTCACACTTGGTGTGACAATCCTTTTGCAACAAAGCAGATATGAAAGTATCAGAAACCAATCACAGTCCCTTCAGAATTCATCATCTGTGCATGGCTGTCTGTACAGCTATGTAGCCATATATATGCATAGTGCAAGCAGGACTGTGATTGGTTTCTGATACTTTCATATCTGCTTTGTTGCAAAAGGATTGTCACACCAAGTGTGACAATCTGTTTGCAATCCTCCTAGTTCTGTTCTTCAATCCTTGTCCAACTATCTGAGACATATGATGGAAGATCACATTGATAAGAATGCTTTCTGATCTCTTTGTGATATTATGAATCATGAATTGTTGAAAACCTGCTGCAGATGAAAACTTGTCAAAGTATTGAAACTGTGTTGAGGCAAGCATCTCTCACGATCAGTTACTCATCTCTCTCTTACTTGTCAGCTGTATATGTACAAATGGTGATAGAAAACATGTTATCAATCCTTCATGTAGTCAGATTTCAGAAAAGGAATAAAAAGGCCATGACTTATGCCTATGAGTATCTGCTCTCACTGGCATGGTTGTTTTGCCACAGCTCATCCACAATTCTTCTAGGCTTGTCCAAGAAATTTTAAAGACCCAGCAGCTTGAATTGTCTCTAATCTCATGTTCACAATCCACAGCAAGTTGTTACATAAATGTCAAAGACAGCAATATCCAGATTTGTCTGTTATCCTTCTAGAATAATGGGAGTGTGTTGTATTGGGGCAGTATCTTATTCCATCAACTCAATCACTTGCAACAGACTATTATAGAGGGATTGAAGACATTTGAGTCCACAATCTGTCTTGTATCCATTCTCAACAATCACTTCCCAGAGGTTCATGTTATTGTTTTAAACCAGATTTCTCAATCTTATTGGTCGAAATATCGTGGGAAGATTAATACCTCTTTCTCAATCTTTCGTTCGAAGGATCGAAAGTTTCACGCAGTGTCACCGCAATCCCCGCCTCCTCCTGTATCAACGCCCACGCGCGATCAATATGCTCCTTCCGCGTGCGCTCCGCGCCCACCGCGAGGCGCACGCAGAACGTACCGTTCAGCTGTGTCTGCGTCAAGAATATCTCGCCGCGCGCGCTGACCCGCGCGTAGAACGCGCGGTTCAGGTCGTTCAGCGCGTCGGGGCCGAGCGGGGCGGGGAGCCCGAGCGCGGTGGGGTCCGCGACGACGCGGAAGACCGTCAGGGCGAAGGACGGTTGGGTGACGAGCGCGAAGGAGGGGGAGGTTTTGACGAGGGAGGCGAAGTACTCGTTCAGTTCGATGCACTACGGTGGGTCAGCGCGGATGGCAGGTAAGGGGTGGGTAGACTGACCCGTCGGATGTAGGCCTGGAAGCCCTTCACGCCGTAGCTCCGGAGGACGAACCAGACCTTGAGCGAGCGGAAGCGTCGCCCGAGCCCGAGGTGCCAGTTGCGGTAGTCAATAACCGCGCCTAATAGACATCAGGCACGTCGTTTCCATGCGCAATCCTTGCATTACGCACCTGCTTCGCTCTGCTTGGTGCGCAGGAACTCGGGCGTCACGTCTAGCGCGTCCGTAAGGTCCGTGCGGCTCCTGACCCAAAGCAGAGCTGCGTCGAAATTGACGAGGCCCCACTAGCGTAGCCATGAGTACTTCGCGACCCGTTCAAGCCGCATATATGCGCGTACCTTGTGAAGGTTCGTCCCCACGGACGTCGCATAGGTGTTGATGTCCTTGAGCCGCGAGACGTCGCGATACTCGGGGCACGCGAGAGTTACACCCGCCCAGGCGGCGTCGACGTGCAGCCAGACGTCAGGGTAGTCCTTCACTACGCATGGTTAAGGACGGCCGCATATATCGTGGAGCTGATGCACTCACGGACTTCACCGATCTCGTCGAGACGATCAATCGCGCCTGAGGAGGTCGTCCCGACCGTACCAACTACCGACCCGAACGTCAGATCGAACATCACCCACACCAGCAAATCCACTTACTCAAAAAGAACGGACGCTTCCTGCGCGCAACGTCCTCCTCGAGCGCGGCGCGGAGCGTCTCGCCCCGGAGCGCGTACTCGTCCTCAGGCTTGACGTCCAGGACGCGGCACTGGAGCCCGAGGACGAGGCTCGCCTTGACGCCGAGCGAGTGCGTCTGGGTCGTGACGTACAGGAGGAGGTCCTCGAGCTTCGCGTCGGGGTGCCTGCGCGTGTACTGCGAGCGTGCGGCGACGGTCACGACGAGCGCGGAGTCGGATGAGGTTGTCTTGGAGAAGCGTGATGAGAGGGTGAGATAATGGAAGGTTAAAAAGACGCGGTGCCGACCTGGATCACTCCGCCGCCAGTGCCAGAGCTGTTGAGGAAGTGGTCGGCGAGCCCGAAGAGCCGGGCGCACCAGTCCATCATGGCCATTTCCAATTCCGTGCATGCTGGGCTGCTTGTCCACTATTGCGAGGTTCAGAATGCAAGAAACGAAGAATGGGGAGGTACACGCACGTTAAAGCCCGGGTTAGGCGTACTCGTCGAGTACAGGTCGCCGAGCATACCTTCGAAGGTGCATGCTGTCGGAAAGTACGCGTAGAAGTTCGGGTGTTGCCAGAACGTCAGGCCTACGTGTTTGCGTGAGATTGAGTGAACAGACCTGAGAGCGACATACGTACCTGGAAGGATGAGCTTCTGATAGTCATCTGCGATGACGTTCCAGTCTTCGCCTTCCTCCGGAGGTGCGTCTTCGTGTCTGCGATCGGTTGACTGGCTATGAGACGCAGAAATCGTACTCACCTGGAAGTTGCTTGAGGAGATATCCTGGCTGGACGGGCGGAACCACCGGTCGCTCCTGGAGCGAGTAGTAAAAGTCGCAGATCCTGTCGATCGCCTGGTAGCCGGCCTTGCGGAAACTAACGTCGACACTGGTCAGTGCACGATGTCTAGCAAGAGTAGACTGTACGCACGCTTCGACATCCATGTCTCACCTCTTGCTCCTTGCTCGCCAAGATGTCTTGGAAAAGACGATGTGCGATCCGCCCTGAACGTCTTGGCTTTGTGAACTCGTCACCGAGACCTGCACTACCCTCCGGATAGTACTAATCAATCCGGTCGGTGTTCGGACCTAAGTGCAGGACAGCCTAGAATAACATCGCGCGCAACTTGTCCTCGGCACCAGAGTGACTCAGAGCGATCTCACGATTCAGGCCTCAGTGGGCGGCAGCTCAGTCTCCTTGGGCGCCGACCGTTGTCGAACGTCGTCGCTGAAGCTCAAGATATACAGAGAAGTAGGCTCAGAATGATTCAGATTCGTGCGTTCGGCAGCAAATTGTCTTCAGAGTGAGAGGTGGACCGAGGCAGGTCGCTCTGCCGAATGAGGTCGGTGGTCGTCCTGGTCGACTGCGCTTACCACTTTATCGGCCGGTGGCTAAATGGACCCCCCTCCTCCTCCTCCTCCGCCACCGTGCCCGAGTTTTTACGTAAATATCAATACGCTACTGGCCATTCGTATGATCTGCTCCGGGTCTACTCGCATTTCCGAATGTATACGGAGAACAATATATACCTGAAAACAAGCATTGGTCTTCAAGCTTCAAGGTCTACATCTCGTCTTGAATCGACGACGACTGGTAACGAGGTGGTACGCAGTGATAGCCAACAGATAGCAAGAACAAGACTCAGTGAGGCGATGAGAAACGTATAGTAAGCATTTAGCAGATATTGGCATGACTCGATAGAGCGATTGGATGAGCACATTGTAGAACCATAACGATGAAGGGATGTTGTGACACACGTGTCGCGTAGAGTTAAGGACATCATTGATTCTCTCGGAGCGACTTGAATGCGCCTACGTCTTCCGACGGTCATGATGGTTCAACTGTGTTCAAGTTCTCGCTGCCAGGCGCGGGCGCGGGCGCATGCTTGCACGTATTGACTGCGTTCTGGAGGACGGGTTGATGATGTGTTCATCTCCAGAAGGAAATCGCGCGGACTACATCAGGTGGTCAGAATTGAGTCGACGATGAACGTGTCTTTAGTATGTACAACTCACATCTTGGTCAAGCTCTGCCTCTTGCAACTTCACTTGCTGACAATTATCCGTCACTGGCTCAGAGTTCCACTGAGTCAACATGTCCACGACGAAACCCTACCGAGAATGCATTCAGTCGTTGAACGGCACGACATGGTCAGCATTTCAGCGTACTCACGTGTTCAACTCGTTCAGCCATTGTCTCATGCGAAGTCTCGTCAAGTTCTTGTTTGGCTCTGCGAGAAGTAGTTCACATGTCAGCTATCAGTCAAGTATGGAGAATCGCACCGCTTTAAGTTCGCCCGTAAATCCTCACTGCGGGCTTGGACAGCTCGTAGGGTTTTCCATACATCAGACAGCTCCCGCTGAAGGCCGGAGTTCGCCTTTTCGAGTTCTTCGATCTTCGCCTCAGGCTGCCGTGCTTCAAAGTACAACCTCAGGTCGTCATACTGCACTTGTAGTTCATTACTTCGAGCTTCAGCTTGTCGTATTTCAGATTTCAGATCCTCCCTCGTTTGCTTGCATGCCAGTGCCTCCGTCAACTTGGAGGATCGCTCATTTAACTTGTCTACGACGGCGTTCTGCGGTGAATGCATTCAGATTGTTCATAAGCACACTGGTGATAGGAAGAGCAGGAAAACTCACGAGTTCAAGTCGTTGAGTTATGGCTTGACGTGATTTCTCATCGAGGCGTCGTTTGGCTCTGCGGGAATATTCCGTATTGTGACTAGTAGGTAATTCGGAAACCGGTGGTCGACGGAAACAAAACGCACGTCTTGAGGTTCCATCGCAGGCTCTTCCTGCAGTCTTTTGCAGCCCGTAGATTCTTCCGTGTAGCATCCAAGGTCTGCTGAAGGTGGAAATTCTTGTCTTCAAGATCTGCGAGCCTGGCATCGAAGTGTAGCTTCATGCTGTCATACTGCTTTTGTACTTCATTGCATCGGGCTTCAGCTTCATGCGTTCTGGCATTCAAACCCTGCCTTTCTGATTCTAATTCGGCGAGCTTGCCCCGAAGTCTCTGTAGTTCGCTGGCTAGGGCGCGGACGACTTCATGCGACAGTGGGAAGTTGTCGAGCCCTTGGCTCGCGGACATGATGGGTCGAGGTGAAGCTGCCGGCTAGCCTAAGCTAATAGTCAACAGGGGGTTAGGGCGAACAGAGTCGAGAAGGATAGAGCGACGATGATAGTCTGTACGTTGTGAACGCTTAACGTCAACCGTGGCGGCCGCGCTTGACGCGTCGCGGTAGCCCCCGATCTGATCTCCGTCGCGGTTGTGGCGGAAACTCGACGGGCGTGTCGCGCCCAAGTCAGTGGAGTTCTCGCTGCTCTAGGGAGCCTGAAAACACTCGTTTGTGATGTAGGACGCGAACTCGAACACCACTAGTACGCAGACGTCATCCCGACGCACCGCTCGATAGAAGGTGTGGACGGTTTGTGTGAGTGCCACCGGATTTGCAAACTGAGCACGCTCGGGCGGCAAAGTATTCTTGACATGGATAACTGAATGTTCTATGTGCGGCCATCATAGCGTGATGCGGACGAGGAGGGACTTTGCCGGATAGTATGTTGATACAGAGGCTAAGAAGCGTGAACGGGGTGTGAGTGCGGTACTGCATCATTGGTTCGAACTGACGTTGAGATGAAGGCCCGGGTCTAGTTGACACCGTTACCGTAGTTACTCTGGGCTGAACCGTTGGATCGTAACTTTGTGCCTATGCAGCGAAGCTGGAGATTCCGGTGAACTGCGCCTCAAGTGGTTCTGCTCGTCGGTTCAAGTTGTGACGACTACTGCACCACAGTCAACCGTCCGACGCAAGAGCAAGTAAGCACGGCGATACGCGCCATATAACAAGCAAGTTTGGATGGAACATCGTGGATCAGAGCAGTTCGAAAGCATTGTCCCGGGGAAGGGCGTGGAGCAGGATCATAGCAACGTGGGGATAGGAAGTGTATGGGCGAAGAAGAGAACATCGTCCACAGAGCACCTCGGCCACGCCTATGCCATCTGACAGTGATCGCTCAACTGCTATGGCGCGAAAGCGTGAACGGATTTACGAGCATCTGCTTCCGAGTCTTGCGGCTGCCGCCCTGGTCGTCATCTGATGCACGCTTGTGTGAGAGGTGATTTGAAGACACTACGTCGGGACATGGTCAAGATTGTCAGCGTGGCAATGAACAGCTATTTCCAGCGGAACATACCTTGACGAATTCTACATCCTAATGTGTCTGAAGTTGCCAGTGTGTTCGCAAGTCGCACGGGGACCCGGGTTCTGGCGGTGAGGCCACTGGCTGCCAGTGACTGACATGCGCTTTCAGTGAATACTTGCATCTCAAGACGGCACGACTTACGCCAGCTGTATGATCCGTGTGCAGCCTCACCTCATTCTGTTCCTCCTTGACCTCCTTAGCCTGTGTCAGGGTCATGCCACCGGAAGGACTGCTCAGCGAAGCACCCTTCCGAGTTACTGCGGCGGATACCTGCGCGCTCGTGGTTTTACTAGCTCTCGCTGTGGGGATCCTCACCGTCTGTGCATAAGTGAGTCAACGCTGATACAGTTTCAATCCCCTGTATGACGCACATCGTGGTCAATCTCAGAATCTACCCTCACTTGCTTGCGTGCCAGTGCCCCCGTCAATTCGGAGACTTGTTTCTTCAACTTCTCTACGACGGAGTTCTGCGGTGGATGCATCCCAATTATCTCATAGGCATGGGGATGATACGATTCAGAAAACTCACGTGTTCGAGCCGCTGAGCCATAATTTGACGTGATCTCTCGTCGAGATCTCGTTTGGCTCTGTGGGAGGACTTGGTATTGTAGCTAGGTGAACCAGTAGACAAGGTACAAGAATCGCACTTCTTGGAGTTCGCCCGCATGTTCTTCTGCAGGCTCTTCTTGCTGGCTGCCGCGGCCTTTTGCGCAACATCCAAGTCCTGCTGAAGCTGTGCATTTTCCTTTGTAAGGCCTGCGATCCTTGCATCGAAGCGCAGTTTCATGTCGTCGCATTGCTTTTGGATCCGAGCTTCAGCACTACGCGCTCTGGCATTCAGCTCCAGCCTTTCCGATTCTAGTTCGGTGACCTGGCTCCGAAGTCTCTGCAGTTCGCTGGCTAAGGTGCGGACGACTTCGTTGGACAGTGGGTTGTCGAGACCTTGGCTCGCGGACATGATGGGGCAAGGTGAAGCCGCCGGCTAACCTGAGCTAATAGTCAACAAAGAGCCAGGGCGAACGGAGTCGAGAAGGATCAAGCGACGACGATCGTCAGTACGTTGTGAACACTCAATGTCAACCGTGGCCGCGCTTGACGCGTCGCGGTAGCTCCCGATCTGATCTCTGTCGCGGTTGTGGCGGAATCTCGACACGTGTCGCGCCCGAGTCTGACACTATGTAGGTGCCGTTGTGACCAGAATTGTAGCATGCACTTGGCATTGCGTATGCGGATGATTCAACGTATTCTTCGATTGAGTCGCATATCCTTGCCCATAGTAACCTCAGCCGGGTGTCTCAAGAAGCCTCTGAAGTACCCGTCCTACCTCGGACTTGAAGCCTACGGGAACGCTATGTATTGAACTCCCTGCCAAGGCAGAGGTCCGGCGAGACCGTCAGCCCGTCAGCCATCATCGCTGGTCAACTCACGAAGCGAAAGGGACACATCAAGATACTGGTCGCATGTTATAGTCAACAGTCAGCAAGAGCAATAGTGAACAAATACGCGCCATATGACGAACAGTTTCGCGTGAAACATCGAGGATTGGAACACTTCGAAAACATTGGCCCGGGAGGGGCGTATAGCAGGATCATAGCGACGAGGGGATAGGAAGTGTATGGGCAGAGTAGAGAACATCGTCCACAGAGTACTTCGGCCACGCCTACACCATCTGACAGTTGACGCTCAACTGCTATGGAGCCACATCGTGGACGGTTTTGGGAGCATCAGCTTCTTGCGACTGCCGCTCTGGTGATCGTCTGATGCACGCTTGTGTGCGAGGCGATTTGAAGACACTGCGTCGGGGATATGGTCAATATTGTCAGCGTAGCAATGAGTAACGGTTTCCAGCGGAACATACCTCGACTAACACTACATCCACACGTGTTTGAAGCTGCCAGTGTGTCCGCAAGTCGCACGGGGGCCCGGGGTCTGAGGCTGTAATTTCCAAACACCTGCGATATCTGCGGCGCGCGCCGTGTGGTGCCAAACATAGGACAACGGTCCCTAGCAGACCCCTCAGCAAACGAAGTTGACCCCGACTCGGAAGCCGGACTCTGGGTGGCGGTAAGCCCACCAGTGACTAACTGGCATGGAACGTTCACAGTGAATACTTGCATCCGAAGAGGGCTATGCAGCACGACTTACGTCGGATTCACTAAGCGTGTGCAGCATCAACTCATCCTGTTCCTTCTTGGGCTCCGCAGGTTGTCTCGTGAATATGGCACCAGAAAGACTGCTCAACGAAACACCTAAGTTTGCTATGGCGGATTGCTGTGCACTCGTGGTTCTAGCTCTCGCAGCGGGAATCCTCACCGGCTGTGCATGGGTGGGTTAACGCCAATACAGTATCAATCGCGTGTATGACGCACATCTTGGTCGAGCTCAGGTTTTACTCTCACTTGCTTGCGTGCTAGTTCTTCTGTCAACTCGGAGACTCGCTCTTTCAACTTGTCTACGACAGATCCCTACGGTATATGCGTCTAAATCAGTCATAGGTACGACGGTAGGAAGACGAGAACTCGCGTGTTCGAGTCGTTGAGCCATCATTTGACTTGATCTCTCGCTGAGGTCTAGTTTGACTCTGCGGGAGGGCTTCGCATTGTAGCTAGGTGAACCAGCGATCAAGGGAAAAGAACCGCACTTCGCATAATTTGACCGCAGGTCCTTCCTGCTGGTTTCCGCAGCCTGTAGTTTCTTCTGCGTAGCTTCCAAGTCCTGCCGAAGACAGGAGTTTTCCTCCGCAAAGGCTGCGATCCTTGCATCGAAGAGCATTTTCATGTCGTCAAATTGCTGTTGAACTCCATGGCTTCGAGCTTCAGCACCATGTGTGTTGGCGTTCAAGCCGTGCCTTTCCCATTCTAATTCGGCGACCTTGCCCCGAAGCCTCTGCACTTCGCTAGCTAAGGTGCGGACGACTTCATTCGACAGCACCAAGTCGGAAGCTTGGTTCGCGGGCATCAAAGTGAAGGTGCCGGTAGCTAACAGTCAAGAAAGAACCAGAGCGAAATGAGTCGAGAAGAACAGAGCGACGATGAGAGCCAGCACGTTGTAAAATGTAGAACGTCAAAAACTCTGTCAACCACGGCCGCGCCACCGCGGGAGCCCCCGATCCGATCTCTGTCGCGGTAGTGGCGTGCGCGTCGCGATCGCCCCGGCCTCTGACACCGCCGCCGCATGCAGGATAGTAGCGGCGCGCGTAATCGCTTGCGTACTCTCTAGGATTGACAAAATAGTAGTCTCGGGGACAGCGAACTTCAGCACCAGCGCACTTACCGTCTTGACAGTTGTGTACCCCGTCGACTGCGCACGCCGAGTCGCCGACCACTTCTAGTCAAAACGTATCTATATGATCTAAGTGGATAGAATTGCTCAGTGGTATGTGACATCAGTATACGCGACCGGCAGCATTACTCACGTAGATGTAATTGAACTGGTGATTCTGTATGCGGCGAACTCAAGTCATTCCGGCGCGGTGCGGACGACTATGCTTAATGCAACAGTGCTAAGAAATGACAGCAGATTTCAGAGCGTATAGACACGGAAATATCAAGATACAAAGCAGCGAGATAGCGTTGACAGGAGACGGTGATATAATGAATGAATAATCAATTTTATCGGAAGTAGTGCGGAGCATCAGGCTCGTCCGTCTGTAAACCCTGTGTCAGCTAGGCTACTCGTCAAGCGATGTATTGTAATCACGTACCACTGGATGTGGTAGACTGCCTTTGCATCTTCCTGCTCCCACTCTGGCTCTCACTCGACGTGCGCTTGAGCGCGTGAGGGCTCGACGCCTGGCTATGTGCCCCCAGCGCACGCTCGATGTCGACATCATGTCCGGTCTTCACGAGCCCGCAGCAGCCGACGACCAACTCATCGTCGCGCAAGATACGCTCTCGGTGATGTTCACCAACTTCGGCGGGGCAGTTGAGCAATGTTTTCGACATGATTCTCTCGACAAGGCCGGGCTGAAGCAAAGGCTGTGTACTGAGTGCCAACGGGGAAGACCAACCACGCGAAGACGACGCTCACCCGGTCTCTCTGGAACGCGATGAAATCTCCGTAGTACATGTACGACACGCCGGTGCATTCGAAGGTGCCGCAATAGCTCCACGTACCCTCATCTCTGCCGAGGAAGCACTCGCGGATCTCGCCGCGGGCCATGGACCCGCATAGAGCGTCGGAGAACGTCTGACTGGTCGCGTCGTATCGTTGATGCGGGAAGAAATACAAACATCGGTCGGCTGTTGGCGACCAAATACTTGTTGTCTTGTTGAAGTGTAGGCGGCCATAGTCGTTGTATGCGCTTTCGCTACAGTCAGTAGGGAAAACGTTGCGCATGCAGTTGGCGGCATACGAGGCTTTGAGTCTCCCGAAGATCTACACATTGCAAGTGAGATGACACAAGTTCCCTAGGCGAAGGCGAGCACTGACATCGTTGAAAGTAGAATACGGATATCTTGGTGTACTGGGTTCTGCACTAGGTCGATTGTGCAGCACTTCTCCGTCAAGGAATAGCTTCGGGTCAAATATATGTCGGCGGGCGGACTGCTGTCATGCGATCAGTCATTGTAGTTCAGCCATAGACAAGTCGATGCAAAGCATAAGAGGGCGGACCTCATCGCTTGCGGAGTTCAAGCTTGAGCGGGCATTGCTATGTTGATTGACATTCGGGAGGCTAGCGTTCTCTTCAGTATCAGAGCCAGCATCGGAGGAATCATTCGAGGCAAGAAACGCCCTGGGCTGACAATAGCTGAGGAGCGTGCTACGTGGAGGATAGATCGCAGTTGAGAGCACCTACGCTCGACGCTTGCCCCAAGTCTACGTTCGTCTCTTCATCTTTCGCTTTCATCGAGAGCTGCACACCCATGGTATAGCTCTGCGAGGACCATCCACGTCGATTGACAGTGCATGTAATGCGCAATCACTCACATAGTCTAGGCCTTCGAGCACCCTCCAGTCGAGGTCGTCGTCTAGCTCTTCTTTGGGTCCGCTGTGACGCTGTAGCATCCGGACCGTTTCAGTGGTCAATGAGTCCCATTGGAGCAACTGACGCAGCGACTCACGGATGACCCGCCTACTCTCCGTTCCATGTCCTCCTGCTTGATCACGGCGGCGTGAAGGCTTTTCCGCGTAGAATCCAGCTCTCTCCGGAGCCGCGTGTTCTCAGCTTTGAGTTCAGCATTGCTATTGCGGACCCTACGATACGACAATTCCATCGCATCGCATCTAGTCTCGAGGTCGTTCACCCTACGTTCCGCATCATATTGGGCTGTAAGTCAACATCGCGATGTCGCCGACAACTCACCTCGTTTTCAGCGTTGCTAGCGAGTTGTCCACCATAGCCTGTACCTTCGCCATCATAGACGAGTCCATTTCGTTGCGGCTTGCACCGTCACCGTGGCGAGACATGGTCTGAGGGTTGGCAGCTCAGAAATTAGAATACGATTGACCATGAGCGTCGGGAAGTGGAAGCAAAGTGCGCAGAGATGATTGGAATCAACATACGACCCCCCAAGCGTGGCGATTGAACGTGAGTCCACCAACTTGTAGTGAGTCCCGTTCTCGAGTTCATTGACCATGCGCATGCGCGCGACACAACCGCCCAAAAGCCGCCGCGGAACCATCCAGCATCTGACGTAATCATCCTTATGTAGACCAACTGAGTGTAAGTTAAGTTAGGACAGAGTGCTAGCGGAACGCGTAGGTTGATGACGGCCTAGTACGCAAGACGACACACGTACACATAGAGCAAAGTTGATATGTCCAAGGTGTTCATGAACAGGTACAAAGTACGAAAAATAATAGGCGTCCAGAGTTAGCTCACTGGCAAGCCTCACACAAACGGGCGGGCTGACTCCAGGCTCGACAGAGTCGACTACTAGGCTGTTCAGCGCTGACATGGACATACTGGATGGTCTGCGTGAGTGGAATGCGGCAGTCGCCCTAAATCATGGTCACAAACCTTTCAATGACTCGGGATATCAGAGTCGTTCAGTATTATCTTCTGCTTCTTGCGACGTGGGCTCTGCTGCTCGTTCGACTCACGCTTGAGTGCTACGCTACCTGAGATCCTTCGAGACGTTTCGAAGGTACGGTCGAGATTGTCATCGCACTCAACCTTGACAATCTGAGAGTATCGCAGGTGAATCCAAGACGCATGACCTTGAGATTTCCGAACTTACATGAGAAGATTTGTTCGACTCCTCCTTCAACGGCTTACATTCCCTCGGTTTTATGAGCTGTCCACCCAAGGAGGATGCTACAGTGACCGTGACGGGGATCTACGAATGACATGTCCAGTAGGATGTAGTGATCATCAGAACAAACGACGTGACCACTCACATTATCGAGCATTTCTGACATCGACTGAGTCAGAGCCTCGTTGAGTTCTTGTTTGACATTGTCCGACTTCGAGCTTCCCGTTTGAACATGTATTAGCAAGAAATCCGGCGACCCTAGAAGCCCTACCTTACAGACTCTCCCCCATCTATCGGACGTAAGACTGCATCCAGAATATTCCGTTGCTCGGCGTTGACCCCCACTCGAGCGTCTTGTAAGCTCTTTCGTGTGTCGTCTAGCTCCTGCTGGAGGCGAGCGACCTCCCCTTCCGTTTCGCTGTTCCTCACTTGCAGCTCTCTTGAACGTGTCTTCAAGAGATTGTTCTCATTCTCGAGATCCAAGCTACGGGTCTCTGCGTCGCGAGCTTTAGCATCTAGGTGTCGTTGTTTGTCTTCTAGTCGGGCAATTTTCTTCCTGAGATTCTTCAGCTCGTTCGCCAAGGCGCGGACAACCTCACTCGACAGCGCCAGGTTGGCAGAGTCGTCGCGACGGTTTCCTCGCGCTCGGAGCATGTATACGAAGTACTCAGAGGTAAGATGCCTGGACAAAACCGATGGTACAGTGAAAGGAATGTTGTACGGTGGCGTTGATGGAATCAATCATCGAGCGTTGAATTTCCCGATATGATCTGAACTGTACGGTACGTACGCTGGCCGGCGATCGTTTAGGTTGCTCCCGATCATGAACTCATAATAATATCCAGCTCAACTTGCGACAATACAGTAGTGTGTAGTACGCGGTACTGATTCTAATGTACTGGAGAACGATCTGAACCTCAGAGCCTCGTCAAACCATGGACTATTGCTGCCATTCAATTATCTATGTCATCTGTCTCGTAATGAAACGACGGTCGCCTCGATTTGGTATTCATGAATTAAGTCGTACGGTGCGGTGTTGGATGCGAGTACTAGAGGAATGCGTTGAGAGCGATAACAAGTGTACAGCCAAACAAAGCAACGATAAGCAATTATCAATTGAAGGTATGATTCCGTGTCAATGAGGCTGTCATACCATGTGCTCAGTCGTGACCTTTGTGCGTTGAATCGAGGATACATACCTTGCATAGGCATCAGGATACTTTACGCTTCTTCCTGCTCCGGTTGTCTGTGTTGTGTGACGGCCGCTTGCGCACGTTGCTCTCGAAGTCACGGTTGCATGCGCCTATTGTCCGCTCGATGTCCGTATTCGTGCCTAATCTGACCAGTCCACAGCATACGACATCGAGCCGTTCGTTCAGATACACGGACCGGACGCTAAGGTTGGGGTCGCGGTCACTGGTTCCTGTTGTCCTTTGGATGATGGTGTTCATGACATTAGCCTGTTCCTTATCAGTGTCATATAACTGGCCCTGGGAGGGACCAGAGCTTTACTCACTCGCCCCCGCGCGAAGTCCTTGACATTTTGGAACGACGTAGTACACCAGCCTACGCATTTGAATGTGCCCCGATAGAACCACTGACTCTGCATCCTGTGAAAGAACTCATGCGTCTCATGGTTGTAGATCCGGCTGTCAATTGGCATGTCCGTGATCCCTTGAGACGCCACGTCATAATGTTGAAAAGGGAACACAAGTAAACATTGAGTTTCCGCGGGTGACCAAATGATCTCATCGTGAGTGCATCTCCAGGCATGGTCCAGCAGACTGATAGCTTGAGGTCAGCAACTGAGATTTAGACTGATCAAGGACATACGACGGGTAGGGCAGCACCTGAGTAAAGTAACGAGTGATTTCAGTATGTCAAGCATTATCAGACAGAATAAGACCGACTTTGCGAAGATATTGCAAGGCTTGACCGCTAGGATTGCTGCGAACTATCAGGCGCCACTTTTCGATGAATTGTCCAGTATTGTCAAGGACGTCGCTTTCGAGGATCTGAGATGGGTCAAAACTACCACTCTCTTGCACCTGCTACCGAGCCAACAGTCAGCTCAAGCTGAGAAACAGCAGAACGCAGAATGACATTGATACCGTTCCCTTCATACTCTGCGTCGTCTTCCTCGTCGTCTTCCTCGTCCTCGTCTCCGCCCTCGCCCTCTTCCTCGTCTTCCTCGTCTTCGTCTTCTTCGTCTTCGTTTTCATCTTCTCCGTCCCCTTCGTCCTTCTCTGATGACTTGTCAGACGGTAGTCCGTCGGACGTTGACTCATCATCATCAGAGTCGTCAGCTAATGCCGTCGCTGCAAAGACTCTTATGTTGGATACGCTGTCCTTGACGACCTCCGCCGCTCGTTCATCGTCACTGGATGACTCGCTGTCGGAGGTATTGACCGGCACCACCTTGCGGGGATATCGCGACCGTATCGCGTCCAAATCCTACAAACCGATCAACAGATACTCAAATAACAGAGCTGCAACACATTCACTCGATTGGCCAGAGCTAGTGCCTTCGTTAAATGATCCCGTTTTCCTTCCATTTCGGATAGGTCGTCTTGAAGAATCTTGACGACTCGGGACTGGTGCAAAATCACGGTTACTATGAGGTCGAACGGACATAGTGAACCCTTCAATCACATGTTCCAGCCTCTCTTCCTCCCTCTGTTGTATGGAATCATCCAGTGCCCTCTTCACCTGCTGGTAGGGCTGAATCGAAAACCACGTCAGTCAGCAATTCGGCGAAGAACACTCATGCAACATACGCACCGATCCTGCAGCTAAAATACACGGCTCTGCATCCTCCTCCTTTATCCACCTCTCCAGTAATGCCCTGCGTGAGTCGTCAAGCTCTCGCTGCAGCCGCATGTTCTCGCCTTCCAATTCGGTATTTCTGGCTTCCAAACCAGCGGTTCTAGTCAATGCGGCTTGGTGACTGGTCTCGAGATGATCGCTACTGAGGGCAACTAGGTCACCGTATTTGTTCTCGACGTCGTCGACCTTAGTCTCTAGATGATGAATCCGAGCTTCTGCGTCACGATGAATCGCCCTCAGCCGCTTCAGCTCCCTTCCTAATGCTCGGACGATCACATTCGACAGGGCGTCTGAATCAGAGCCATCCTGCGTGTCGGACATCGCTCGCTGATCGCCAGAACCAGGGAAGGACAGTAGCAATGACCAAGAGACAGCCGAGCAATGACAAGACCAGCGGCGCACAGTCCGAGTATTGAACCAGTACTGCTAACTTATGTACAGTCTGGATAGCACCGAGGATGCAGGAGCTGTTCCATTCATTGATTCAACCGTTCGCGTCAGCTGCTAGCAGCCGATGGCGGCAAACTCCGTCTTGTATGATCTACGAATCGCGATCTGTGTGCCAGACTCCAATAAGTAAGTTCGTAGTACCAGAGCTACTGTTCATACATAGAGCTTGAGCTCAGACTCTCCAGTGCATCCGTACTATCCGCGGCACAGGTGCTGCAGCACGACTAGTAACAGTGATCTCCTTAAGAGCCTGGGGCTCGTTGGAATCGTTGCGTGCCGTGGAAGCAGTGAATGCGGATTAACGATCAATATAACTGCGACGGATCACGATGCAGTACGCTACAGCGATATCGACCCTACATAGAACGTCGGCAAGTACGGGGAGGTGTCAACAACAAAGTCAGCAGACGGTTGAGACGACGTCGTCCGAGCATATGGAGGACGCAGATGAAGATGGCATCGCGTACAAAGTGGCAGCCGGATTCGCTGCACGAGCCCTGCATGATACAGCAAGTTCAGTAGATGTCTCGAAGCATGAACTCACAACTGAACTGACCGGGTAGAAGCCTAAGGTATTTCGATCTTCGCCCGCTTGTGACGCTCGCCCGCATTATGCGTGAGGTTGGCAACAGGTTGACCTGGCGCAGAGCCGTCGCCTGCGCATCGGACGAAGAACGTGCTCACGGTGCTGTTTCGGCCAATGTATTCCATACTATGGCAGCGCACAAGGATCGTTCCATCGAGATATGCATTTCGGAGGAGCCGCGACCTGGATGCCCCACCGGCCGGTGGGACGGATGAACCCAATGTCATCACTCGGGTTACAAGGTAACCGAACAGACGATCCTGACTACGAGGTAAGCTTCGTATTGTCCGATACGTATGGAGCGTGTTACCTGATTAGCGACTCCAAGCTGGATAAGGTCCTCGGTGCGTAAGTGAGACGCCTCAGCGCACCTGAAGGTACCGCAGTAGAAGCTGGTGTCGCCTTTCGATAGGCAGAGCTCACGTGTTTCTCCAGGCTTTATGAAACCGTTGTAGTCGAATGGCCGGAAAGTATGCGTCTCGGGTTGGTAACAGTGTACTGGATGAACGAAGAGACATCTCATGGACGAACTTGGACACCAGATGATGCTGTCTTCTACGCAGTACTTCATGGTGCGATCAAGGCTGGAATAACGGCGCTGGTATGTCAGCGGCTCTGCGACGACATTTTAATCATGATCAAACTCACTGTACACTGCGTAGCTTCTTGGAGTGTACATACTAATGTAAGACGTTGTCACAACTGCCTAATCTATGGATGCGACTTACGGTAATCAAGGCTTCCCAGTTCTGCTTTCCTCGCAGCATTTGACAATGCTGCAAGGACGGTTCTTTGAGCGTCTCACCCGGAGAGATGACAAGAAACTGTCGGATATTGGCGAGATCCTTTTCATAGCTAACCTACGAAAACATTCAGAATCCATCAGAGAGATATGTCACAATCTCACTGTGAGAGTTTGGAGCTGCTTTTCAGCGGGCATAGGCAGTTCAGTTACTACGTGTTCGTGAGCCATATATTATTCAGTCAAATTCTAAGCCTCGTACCATGACGAGAGTCGAGTCGAGCTGGGGTTTCCCCGTCTTCCGTCCGCGCTTTGCGTTTCAGAGAATGTGATTCACCTGTCTCCGGCACTTTTGAAACATCGACAGCGGTCGCAGCCCGAAGGCGATCCAATTCCTGTCAGAAGGGCATGTATGAGTGAGTCAGTGACGTACTAAGGAGAAGACACGAAGACATGATGACAACATACAGTCCTTGCCTCCCGCAACGAAGCCTTTGAATTCTTGTACTTGTCATGTACCTTGGTCAACTTCTCCGTCATCTCCTCCAACGACTTTTCCTAGCAAAATGTGAGGCGAAGGGACACGGCGTAAATGAACATGACTGACATAGTTGGCCTTATTCTCATCCCTCTCTTGTACCAGTCTATCGATCTTGCGAAGCGCTTTCTCGTACCGCTTAGCGTTCTAAAGGTTCACATTCAACCAAGGTCAGGAAACTCGGAGAGACGGTAGCTTACACTATCGCCGCCCAGTCTTTCGGATTGTTGCTCCTGTGCCTTCTTCATAACACACAATTGAGTGTGTGCATCGTTCAATTCTTGTTGCAGTCGTTCCTTTTCTTCACAGAGTCGGTCCTGCTCCACACGAGCTCGTTTGAGCTCGCTGCTCATAACGCGAACAACTTCGCTCATGATATCGGAGTCGGATCCCGCTTCGGGGTTGTCGCAAGGGCCACTGCTGGCTGATGACATGCTGAGACTTCGAGGGTGATGGGAAGCGCGGTAGATGGGGTAGAGAGACAGTAGCGGGTCGCGGCCAGCCCATCTGTGCAGGAGTAGTGAACTTTATAGGCAGGGAAATGCTTCTTCCGCGGCGACGGGAAGTAGTACGTGTAAGAAGGCAGGCGGCCCATCAAATCCAATCCCAAAAGGAGGAGGTAATGTACGGCGAACCGCGCCACTTACACCATTCGTCGGCTGCATTCCTGCTAGGGACAACATACGCCGGTTGTACGCCGGCACCGCCGATGCGCCAAACGTGATTGTAGCCGTCATCCATGACAGCTTGCAGCTTCGCGCGCACGTCCGGTAGTTTGTCGTTGGAGCTCTTCCATTTCCTCACGAACCCTTCGGAGTTCGTTGCCCACAACTCTAAAACCTCGTCCATGAGTCCCGAGTCGGACACCACGTTCTTGCCATGGCTTCCGCGCGACAGCGACATGACGTGGAAGGCGGCAGGAGCAGCGGCGCATGCAGGGTCAGAGTTATGTATGGTCAGGTGCGCTTCTGCCGCGGATGTCAAGGTAGTACGTACACGGATTCGACCCAGGGTGCATCAAACTCCCAAACGCGGAGTGTCGATGGCGTGAGCGTTGTACGTGCCCGGAGATCGGGTCCATGACTCACCGGCGATGGCAAGTCCTCAAGTCCTCTTCCCTTACGCGTCTTCCGCTCGGAAAGCTACTGTGTGGATGTCCTAGCTTCCTATTGGCAGTGACTACAATGGAAAGTAGTTCGCACATCGCAGCGAGTAAGCAATTCTCTGGAAGATATGATCAGTGATCGCTGGTCAAGAACGAGACTATCGCGGGTTACGATCAACAGCTGAATTCTGGGCGTGCGGCTCTGTGGTAGAAAAGCAACGTAGACGATAGCATATACGAGTTGATAACATGATTGCGACGGCAAGGACAAAAGTAGTGATCGACGAGTGATATGGCGACATTTCACAGAGGACAAGGCGTCCGTGCTTGATTAGACAGATGGCCGAAGTGCCACGCTGCACATAACAAAGTCAGACGTTTGGAGTGCGGAGAGCATAAGTCGCCATCACCATGCCCGCGTTCGTTACTGCTGCTTGCTCTTCTTCGAGGGCCCGTTCTTCTTTTTCTTCTTTGATTTGACTGCAGGTGCATCCGCATGATCTCCGAATCGAGCAAACATGTCGCTGACTCGGTTGTTCCAATCGACGTACTCCAATGCATGACATCGCACAAGCAAAGTCCCGTCAAGATGTAAATCTCGAAGGAGGTCCGCTTTGGAGAGAACAGTGTTCAACTGATCGAAGACGCCATACGTTTTTGACCGCTTGACGATGTTCTGAAGCAATGAATGCTAGTATTAATCATTAGCGACAAAAAAGCGTTGATGTATCATGTCGCACACCTACCTTCTCAGTAAGCCCGAGCTCAGCTACGTCCTGAATCGGCAGGTTTACAACGTTACTGCACCTAAAAGTTCCGCAATAGTAGTGGGTTTTCTTCATTGACCAACATAGTTCCCGGGTTTCCCCCGGACGCATCCAGGACTCGTAGTCGTGCAGTTCAAGTGCCTGGGTACTGAAGGAATAAGAATGGGCTGGAAAAACAAACAAGCACCGTTTGGATGAACGGTGCGACCAGATGATGTTGTCCTGCGCGCACAACTTCATTTTGAAACTATGATGCTATTAGCACAATGCCCGGGTATCGATCGATGCGTCTCACCCGGTCAATGCCTATGTAAGAGCAATTCCGTGGATGATCATCTGGGTAACCGCATAACGTGCAGTTTGACTTACCGACATCAACTTACTCCAGTGTTTGTGAGTCCCAATAAATGTCTCAAAATGATCCACGGATGGGCCACTCAAAGGCTCCCCCTCTGGAACTCCCATGAACTGTCGCAGATCCTGCTCACGTACGTCAAGATCAGCTTTTGGGTTCATAAGACCAGATGGAGTAATCAACCAGGAGTTCATTGGCACTCTGAGGAGACTCTCGGGCCTCCGATCCACCCTCCGTTGTCTCGGGGTGCCCTTCGTCATCGTCTTCACGTTTCCGCTTTCGAGACGTCGAGACACCGTCCACAGAGAGCTCGGCGATCGCGCTCGCAGCTGCACTTCGAAGTGTAGTTAGGGCCTATGGAGGCCACGAATTAGTGTCGTCTCGCCTGGAAGAAGGCAGGGCAGCTCACATTTCGGGACTCTTCGAGAGCGGCCTTGACGTTCCGGCACTTCTCCTTTCGCCTCGTGAGCTTTTGTACGAGATCCTCCATCTCCTTTACCTGCAGACGTGTATGAGTCTCAGGGAACGTCAGAAGCTACGCCTGAGACTCAGAAGCCTACGTGTTTCGCATTCTGTTCGTCCTTTTCTTGAACAAGTTTGTCGATCTCTCGACGAGCCTGCTCGTAGAGCTCAAGGTTATGGGCGTTCAGTCAACAGGCTCCGCTGGATAGAGGCGAACGAGCTTACCGAACGATCATCCCGCTTCACTTTTTGCTCTCGCCCATCCTCGACATCGCTCAATCGCAAACGCGCATCGTCTAACTCACGTTGCAGCTTGTCCTTCTCCGCGCGAAGTCGATCCGACTCCACTCGTGCTCTCTTGAGTTCGATGCTGAGAGCCCGAACCACTTCGTCCATGATATCTGAGTCGTCGGATTCTGCGATGACCTGGGCGTGAGCATTGTCGTGAATGGTACTGGATGGGCGCGACATGTATTGACTTCAGTAAAGAAAGAAGCCAAGCCTGGTGTCAACGTAGAAGAAGCAATGTGCCGTATATATAAGTCAGAGGTGTGGACTTGAATGAACCTGACCGCCTGGGATAGCCTGGGATCCGGAAGTAAGCAAGTACGTACTGGAAGCCCCGGCGGCATCAAATTCCCAAAAGGGGTAGGACCCACCACGCCACCTGCAAGTTGTGGCGCTGGCCGCCGCGCTGCTTTGACTCTGCCGCTGTGTTCTGTACTACTACTAGCACCATTGTCTATCACTCTCTTCCCACATCGCTCCCGCATCGCAAAGAATGGCATCACAAACCAAAGCCAGCAGCAGCACGCTACATAAAGTGGCGGAGGCAGCTGAAGACTTCGTCGAGAAGATGACAGACACGGAGACACCGGCGGACGAGGAACAGGAGGGCAGCAAGCTCTCAATGGACGAGCGGAAAGCGAAGCTTGAGCAGCTACGCAAGAAGATGGTGAGCAGCTCTCCCATGTTGTTCTGTCGGGTGATCTAACTCTAGTACTCGGAGCGTAGCATACAGCCGCCATGGCGAACCGCGCATCCGTAGTGGAAGAGAGCGCAAGGGCGAAGACCACGGCACGCGACGCTGTACGGCTCGAACGACAGCGCAAGCTCGCCGAGACGCTGCGCCTCAAGGCGGACGCGGAGGAGCGCGGCGAGGACGTCGAGCGGTCCAAGAACTGGGAGTGGACCATTGAGGAGAACGACGAGTGGGAGAAGAAGCAGGCGCGCAAGACGCGGAGGGCAGACTTCGAGTTCCACAGTACGTTGCATCTCTGGCCGTGCGATGTCCGCGGGTGTTCAGCATCGCAGGTGGACCGGTTCTGACGTCCTGTTGGTAGACGACGCGGATGCCGCGCGGAAGCGGTATAAGAAGGACCTGGACCATATCAAGCCTGACCTTGCTGCGTACAACAAGCAGAAGGAACTTGCGTTGGGTCTGGCGCCGGGAACGCTGGCTAAGGCGGGAGGTAGCTCTTCTGCGCTGACACAGTTCGACCCGAGACAAGGGTCGTCTTTGCAGGTGAGTGCCCTAGTGGTTCGAATATTGACTAGCCGCGCTGACGCTGCTGTCCAGGTCGCACCTACCAGCGAGCAGCAGCGGATTGCTGCTGAGAACCTCTATCGCGACGCGAACAGCTTGCTCTACGCGGACAACAAGCCGAGCGAGGAAGCTATTGATAGGGTGGTTTCCAAGATCAACAAAGAGTGCGTCGCGTTCATCCTCCTCCATCGATGCTACTCACACGCGTTGTAGTATTGACAAGAAGAGCAAGTTTTCGCGGAAGCGGAACAACGAGGACGAGGGCGACATTACCTACATCAACGAGCGGAACCGTGTGTTCAACAAGAAGGTACGACGCATCCTCATTCTCTGTGACCCGCCTGCTCACATTACGCTGTCAAGATTGCACGGTACTACGACAAGTACACAGCGGAGATTCGCGCGAGTTTCGAGCGTGGAACTGCACTCTGATACGTCCTCTGCTTCACTCGTCCGATGCTCTGTATTGTATTCTCCAACTGTAATATTACACGACGGACAGCTATCGTATATACATAGACATGCCCATATGGAGCGGACAATGGTGATGGTGAACCAAGGGCCGATTAATGACGACCTCGTAGTGACTTACATCAACGCGAACACAGAGTGAGACGCTTCGTGCCAGTTCGTCTCGCCGCGGGCGACCCGGCACGAGGGCCCCATCCTTGTGTCCATATCGAGGGTTTCGAAAGCGGCGAGGCGTATAGCCTCAGGGATGCTCGGTGTCTGCCGTCCCTGCACTCAGCGATGAGCGAACGGTTGCGACTACCTTCACTGCGTCTCCTTCAAGGAGCTCCTCCGCGAGGACCGCCGCGGCCTCGTCCCCTACCGCGCCTCCCACCTCTACCCCCAGATCCCCCAGGTGCCTCCTCCGGAGCAGCGCCCTCCGTACCGGACGCACCACCACTTCCAGCCGCCCCATCCCGCGTCAAGATCTTCGGCGCGTCCCGCTGCAAGATGGTCGGCGGCGCGGGGGCCGCGCGAGGCCCGCGTTTCTCCTCCTTCGTCTTGCCAGTGCTCGGGGCGTCGCCAGGGGCGGTCGGCGCGTCTGCGGCGCCCTTATCCTTGTCCTTGTCTGCGGCGTGTGCGCGCCGCGGAGGTCGCCCGCTGACGCCCGCGCCGCTGAGCGCCGCCTCGAACTGGCGCGAACCGAGCCCGAGGACGGGGCGTCGTCGGCTGGAGGACGGGGCTGCTGGATCACTGGACGTCGATGCGGATGCGTCCGCGCCAGGCTGGGTGGCAGGGGTAGGGGCTGCGGATGAGGCGGGAGAGGGCCTGGGCTGGCGTTCCCGTGGAGGCCTGGGTGTCTTCGTCGGCGAGCCTGCCTGTTGAACTTGCGCTTGCTTCGCCTGCGCTGGCGCGTTTGTGGGCGCGGACGCCTTCGTCCCTGGGGCGGACGACGGGCCTGCGGGTTGCTGAGCTGCTTTCGCGGCTGCCTTCTTGGCCTTCTTTCCGAGAGGCTGTTCTGCGGGCGCGGGCTTCGCCCCGCCGCCCGCTGCGGCCTTCTTCTTGTCGTCCTTCTTCGCGGAGGCCACGACGGAGGGGTCTTTGTAGTGCGCGTGGGCGCGGAGGATAGCTTCTTTGTCCTTCTGCGCGGACTTCTCTGCCTTTAGGGCTTCGAGGAGGGGTGTCGTGGTGGGTTGTGGGGGCGGTTGCGAGGCTGCGACTGCGCGAGGTATCAGCGTGTCTGCGCGATGGATGATCTAGGATGGGACGCACTCAGAGTTTCGAGAGTCTCTCCATCGACTGGCTTAGAACCTCCTTCCTCCAACGACTTCATGAACGATAGGAAATCCTCGTCTGCGGAACGGATGAACATCGCTCTCCGTGTGATTCACACATACGTACCTTTCTCAATCGTGCCCACTCTGTTGTCTACTTTCTTCTTCTCAGACGGGATCTTCTGATACGGAGCGAACTCTACAACAGCGATGGACTCGTTCCCTAGAGCCACAGATATGAGTCCCAGCCGGTAAGCGAAGTCGCCCAAGCGTACCTGCTTTATCTCGGAAGACATGACCGTCGTAGTCCCTGCTGAAGATCGCCAGTTGCTCTTCGTTTCTGAACGCGATATAGGCACGAGAAGAGATGTTCTCCTTGTTCAATCTGGACACAGGATTGGCATCCCACACACGCGCACGATACAATCGTGGTATGCTCACCGCTTCCTGAACTTCCCCTGATAGTAAGCCTTCCACTGCGCTGTCTCGTCGGTGACCCATTGCTGCACACTGTGCCAGAAGATGTCCTCTGGTAGATTCGGAGGCAAGCGGCGCACTATGGTCTTGAGTCGCTCTGTCTGAGGCTTGTTCGCACCTTTCTGCCGCTTGTCCTTCTCTTTCGCCTTTCCCTTCGCGTTCGGGCTCAAGGATAGCTTTGCAGATTCCACGGCATTAGACATGTGGGTCGGCTCTCGGAGTTGTACCAGTGTAGGTGAAGCTATAGTGAGATAACTTAGACACAGCGGCAGAGTCAATGCAGCCTACGGGCCCGGTGACCGTCCCTACGCCACAACTCGCAGGTGGCGTGGTGGGACCTACCCCTTTTGGGAATTTGATGCCGCCGAGGTTCATTCATTGTCAAGTCCGCACCTCTAGCTTATATATACGGCACATTGCTTCTCCTACGTTGACCCCAGGCATGTCTCCTTTCTTTACTGAAGTCAATACATGTCGCGCCGATCCAACAGTACCATCCACGACAATGCTCAAAAGTGTCCGTCCCTAACAAATCCAACAGAACGTCGTGCAATGATGTACAGCGTAGAAATCGCTATGACGATGTCCATGTAGAAAGGCGAAATGAATGCCGCTCATATTCATTGAAGAACCGATTTCAGCGCAACTTACTACGACCGACATCCGCCATCATGCGCGATGAAGACGGTTGCTTTGAAGAGCATACGCACCGCAAATCAAGCACCCTCACGGCTACTCAACAAGCTGTCCAACCCTCTCCCACCATGCCAGACCAATAGCAGCTGTACTGGCAGTCAGTGCGTGCTCCAAAGACCAGCAAAGGTACGAACCTTGTCTAACCCGTACCGCACCTCGGCCACCTGCGTTCGGCATGTAAGCACAAAGTTCCGTCTCCAGTTCCTGAAGCTCAGTTTCGGCGATGCTGTATCCTAGCTCGAAGACGACACGCTTCGGTGCGAACTTCGCGCAAGAAACAACTTCATCCAGAGAAGGCAGGTCGAGCTCGTCGAAGCCGAGATCCATGGCGTGTTGGGACGAGATGCATATCGTAAGTTGTTCAAGGGAGGGTATGCAGAGATGGGAGATCATAGTGACCAAAAGCTCGCGAGGACGACACGCAATCCTGAGCGTCTGCAACATCTCGTTCGCTTCGAAGGCGGGGAACGGGCCTAAAGTGACGACACACCGTCAGTAGTAATCCATTAGGAGGCTACGGACGCTTGTTACCTTCATACTCTTGCCAAGTTCCGAGATCGACGTTCACGGCAAGATGTCGAAGGCTGCGGCCTGCTGCATCGCACAGCGTCTGGACGACAGTGAGCTCTCGCATGTGCGCGTCGAGCATGAGGGTGCGCAAGTGGTCAAACTCGATCATGGCGGTCATCATGTTCACCAGCGCGGGAGAGAGCAAGATGCCCCGCAGAAGAAGGCTATGTAGCCGAAGAGGGGCGGGCGGTCTGACGACGTCTGCGTAGTCGTGTTCGAGTTCGTGTCCTCCGTCGCATACGAGTGTTGTCAGGTTCCCGAGAGCAGCGAGAAGGTGTCCAATACGCTTCTGCTGGCGCCGGATGACCAGCGTAGACACAGACGCAGGGCGGGTAGGGATATACACGTTGCACCAATCGACAAAATGGATCTCCTGGCACTCAAGGGTCTTCAACGCGTGTAGGGCTGCACAGATGCGAATGAGTATGGTGATGGAAGGGAAGGTGACGTCTTGGAGGGTTAGGCTGCTCAATGAGGTGAAGTAGGAGAGCATGGTGAGCGCTTTGAGATGGATCTGGGACGAAAGACGCGGTAGCCCGTCGCGGGACGCCATGCCCCGCAAACAGAGATGCTTGACATTGGGCAGCCGTCGAACCAGCGTGAGCGAGAAGACCCTGACCAGCGGCACCCCCGACTGTCGGTTGACCGCAAGAATGAGCTGTCTAACGCGAGCGGCGCGGTCGCGACTTCTCGAGAGCGCCCTGGAAATGGCCTGGAGCTCAGCCTCGTCCCGGACGATGATTGTATGTAGCAAGTAGTGTCGGCTCCGGTAGGACCACGCTTTGCAGACGAGCTGGCAAGACTTCAACGCACGGGCGGTCTCCTGGTCCATCGGAACCGGCGAGTCGCAATATATGAGATCGATGATCTGCTCGCATACCTCCGTGGGCAGCACGGTCTTTTTCTTGTTGCGGAACGTCCATCGGAGACTGACCCATTGGGAAAGCATGGTGGAGGACGATTCGGATATGTAGCTATGTTAATGGTATCGTCAATCAACGTTAGAAAACGCGGAAGAGAGGGTCGGTACAGACGCACCGTCCTGGATGAGTGTTGTACCTCCAAGCGAGCGTTCCATCCGCGTTCGTGGTCTTATCGGGTTGAAGTCATCCTTCGCTATCGTAACGTCTGGGAGGCAGGAGACCACGCGCTCAGTCGAACCTGAATGGAAGACCATCCGCAACTTGACAATGCCGTGTATCTGGACGAATCCATCGATACCGGGCTTGGCAAATGTCTGCGCAAAGCAGCGTGTAAGCTGCATTTCCCGTGTAGTTTGCGCATGCAACCGTATTGCCACGCCGGCGCACTCGTCCCTGGTCGAATGAGATTGATGAAGTAAAGGGCCTGAGATCATAGCAAGCACCTGACGGACTTACCGTCCACGACTCACCAGACCGCTGCCTTGGCTGCGCATTCAATACATAGCGCGTTCCTGCAAGTCATGTCTCGCGGTGCCGGGCGAGTTTGAGGTGTCCGCCGTCGCGAAAGCAATACTATTACTTCCCGAACTGTATGTATCGTGCTGCCAGAATATGATATGACCGCTTTAGCATGGCAAGCAGCCCAGACGGAAACACGGCTCACTGGATACGACATAGGCTTCCCCGCCGGGTATAGTGCAGGAAGCAAGATAGCAGTGATACTGTATGCGTGTAGGTGACATTGCATGGGTGGTGCGAGGCTGTTGTGGCCTGCAGGAGCAGTTAGACACTGGGCAGCACGAAACACCTGGGACTAGACGGTAACAATTGCGTTCATTTGTGAAAAGCCAGATACTGGGCGTTATGGCAAGGTATGGCATCGCAATGGCTTCGCGCGGTGACCTGTGCCCTGCCTCAAGCTTCACAGACCGACTGCGGTCGGTCGGTATTGGTTGCTGAGAATTCAACTGCATCTCCCGTTCAGCTGCAAGGTCGAACACGAGTGATAAACGAGTCACCAAGAAAACATCCTAGTAGCTGCCCCTGCCGAGTTCGAGGTAGATCTCATTTTGCTGCAAGACGCGACGATAAACGTGAAGTTGGTCTGAACTTGAGGCAAGTTGAGCTGGTTTGAGCAAGAGCGCGCCTGCCAAGCGCCTGCGCTTCAATTAGAATGGCTCCCGGCACTCTCCGGCACTAATACGGCTGACGTAATCGATCTCGATCCACTCGCTCGAACGTTGGCGGCCGAAGGCTTGACTGAACGTAGGTTCGACACAAACCCCTCGCACGAGTGTGGCGAGACTATGATTGAACGTGGATCACTGCTATTACACTGCTAATTTGCGATTCACTGGCGATCCTTGTCTTTGTTTGCCTGAGCGAGACCGACCAGCTGTTCACAGGCTCAGGCGGATGCGAACCTGAGGTTGCGCGACGTTCTGAGCAAATTGGTACGCCTTGTCAGCGTACGACTAGCCTTATCAATATTGTAACTGACCTCCAGCCTTGCTCTGCCAGTCACACTAATTGTAATCGCCGGTATGTACAGCTCTCCTGCCAGTCTGCTCTACCAACATCTCGTGCCTTTACCACACTCATCAGACTCTACATTATCTAGGTATCTTGACTGTAACGTCATGCCAGACCGAGGCAGGAAACGGAAGCTTGATGTTCAACATGTACGGCGAGTGCGCCCGTGGACTAGTCGACTTCCCGAGACTGATTTCGAGTCGCGCTCATGCAGAACTATGACGAAGCGCAAAAGGGTCTCGAACGTCTAAGCATCCGAGACAATATCGACCCGAATGCAGCACGAACGGCAAGTCTCGTTACAATAAAGTCACTTACAAGATCTGACACATCCGTCTCGTGGCAGTCAAACCCCGTATTGCCGCCTCCATCGACGCAAGTCCGCAAACTAGCCAGGCTTCCGGCAAAGAGAAAGGCACCGGCTGCCAGACTTCCACGTCTACCGGTAAGTTGTCTACATACAAGAAGACGACGCGTCTGATCCCGCCGCCAGGATTACACTCAGGCCCGCACATCCACACAAGCCCAGACGTTGTCCGACTCAGAGTCTGAAGACGGATCCGGATCCGAAGATGCCAAGTCCGACGACGAGCTCCCCGAGAGTGGCCCGGGAGAAGACGGCGATGACCTTGATATGCCCTCGATGGCTAACATGTCGATCCGCGACGTGAGTGCCGTATGTCCAACGAGCACGACTGCAGTGGCTGACGCACGTTGTGATGGTTGTCAGTTCGAGATCAATGAGTTCCTTCAGACCGATCCCTACAAGATCGTACCGGACCCACCTGTGGAATTCGAACAACTCTTCGTCAGTGTGTCTGGGAAGGCGGTATGGCAAGCACTTACACTGGTAAGCCTCGTTATCACATCTCAGTACCAATCACTGATCATGACTAGGCCCTATCCAGCGTATCGTACGCATCTTGTTCTCGTCTCAGGCAAGCTTCGAGCTGATTCGACTGTTGCAGCTACTCCGGGAAGGTACTGAAGTGCATGTCGGACATGACCATCTGGACGCCGTACGAAGACCTCAGTCGCTGCGTCGTGCTGTACCCCGCCCAGCGCTGGAACTTTGGCACGTCCAGGGCTGAGCCCGCGGAGCGCAAGACATGCAAAGCGTGGCCGCGCGTCCGCGAGACGCGCGACATGTGCTTCTCCGCGGGCGGCGCCTGGCACTACTGCGGGACCTACCAGTGCACGGGCATGTCCATCATGCGGCTTGACGAACTGTGCAAGCTCGACAAGTCGAAGAGCGTGAGTACCGTGTCATGCGATGATCCTCCTTTTGCGTGGTTCTGACAGTGATGTAGAAGACGATGTTCAATAGCCTCGTGCAGCAGACACCGCGAGTCCTCGGCGGAGCGATTCAGCGGTCGAGCATGCAGACGATGACGTCGATCATGCAGACGCTGCGCGATGCGTATCAGGATGGGCACTTACTCGTGCGATGTTACGGGTTCCAGCTGGTCGGACACAATGACCAGGTGAAGGAGGCATTTCTAAGGTGTCTGTCGACCGTGAAGCAGAAGAAGGACAAGAAACGCGCGAAGAAGGAGAAGAGCGAGAGAAATGGTACGTTGGAGATGGCCGATAGTGCGGCGTGCGAGGACGGGCGGGATCGTCGCAGGGAATTGACGGCTGCTTACGACGGGGGGCGGAGATTGGCTGGGGAAAGGCAAAAAACGCGAAAGCGCCCCAAGTCCGCAAAGAAAAGGTGTTTTTTTGGCCATAGATTCGCCTCCCCGTAGGGAGCTCGCGGTTTATGAGGTTCGGGTACTTTTCGTGCATTCGCAAAACGGGTCTCGGTATGTACATGTCTGGACAAGAACAAAAAAAAGGGGAACACCCCTTGAGGTGAGTCCGTCACTACCGTCCGCAGATGAGCCTGTACCTGTACATAGACCGTGTCAATGCATGCAATTAACCCGCTGCTGGCTGTGAACACGCGAAGGGACGACTCACCGCATGTTAGTAGCCGCCCCTGACAGCGGCGAGCTTGCAAAGGCCGCTCGTCTGCCAACTGCATGTCACGCTCGCGGGACGTTGTTACGTCGGCGTATTGTCGTACGCGCCGCTCGCGGGACGTCGATACATGGGTGAATTGCCGCGCACGTTGCAGAGCCTGAGCCTTGCCATATGCCTCGCTCGGCCCACGTCCCATTCGAGGCGAGTGTCTCCCGCACGCGTATGGCAAGTACATACTTGCCCCTGAACCCTGTGTGCGCCACCGTGAGCCTCGCCCGTAAAAGAGAGACGACGAGCAACGTACCACAGTCGCAGCAGCATCCGCCGTTCGGACACTGACAACTCGAACCATAGAATCCCGACGCATGACGCGTGCACAGAGTCAGTGCCAGCGTCGAAGAGCCAAGTCCTCCGACGCACCTTCTGTCCATGTGCAGAGCTTGCGATGTTCTCGCGGGAAGACGTCCCGCCCGACGCCTTGAGGTTGGCAAGGCTGCTGACGAGTACGGCTGCGAGCCAACTCGCCAGATGATGTGCCCATGGTTAGTCAGCGCAGGCAGACCGCAGGAAATGGCATAACGAACCTTCCTCGAGTCGGGCCGTGCTGCTACCCTTGTCTCGCTGAAGCAGCTGCCCATCAGTCCACCGTGATGCCGCTCGCGGGGCGTCGATACATATACTCATTGCCGATCGGGGACAACCACATCCGAGTCGCGAGTTGGCCGTTGCGAAGCGCAGCCTCGGACGTCAATGAGCTCGGCACGCGCAGCTTGTAGTGAGTCGACGTGCGAAGTGGTCTCGCTATTGACGTTCCTGGCCATCGGATTCAGCTGTCAGTATGCAGCATGAGCTACAGCGATGATCACCTACCTCATGAAGACACCGCTCGCGGGATGTCGATATATACATACATCGCCGAACACGACAAGATCGATCGCGGTTCGCCGCGATGTGTGCAATCGCCGAGCTGTAGATGGCGCGGTAGTGATGTTCCTGCAGAGCATTGTCAGCCGTCATCCATGTGCACGCAAACGCAACTGTCACCGCACCATTGCAAACACCCTGCTCGCGGGACGAAGATCTGTATATACATTGTCGAACACGGCCGACTCGAGGGGTGTACTATGGGTTCGCAATGAACACGATAGTACCTCGTAGCATGATAGCCGCAGTACCTCACTCGCCGGACGACGTTCTGTATATACATCGCCGTTCTCGCTGTGGAGTCCCCGACTGAGGGCGACGGCCTTGAACTGCGCTCACGGGGCGCCGATATATACATATACCGATCGAGTTGCGGAATCGGAGCAGTGGGCTATAGGTGCAGCAAAAACTGCACGCAGACACAGATCGGTGAGTACATGCAAATGAGCGATTGACCGTCATAGACTTACCTGTGAGGGTGACCTTCTAGTACGCACATAGTACAAGAGCGGGACAGCGGGCGGCGCCCGTTGCTTGCGGAAAGCGGATCACTACAACGGGTACGTCAGCGTGATGATACACTTGAGCCACTATCAGCCACGTACCTGCCTGCATGGCCGTGACAACTTGTCGCTCGCCGGACGGTGATCTATACCTACATTGTCGTACCGGGTCGTCGAACTGAACTGAGGCAGTCAAAGGCTTGTTGCTTCGGCCCGGTGTGCTTCTCCACACTGCACCGCGAAAGAGGTGCTGCACGATGGGAGTTCAGCCGCAGTAGGCAGCGAGTAGCATCAGGAAAACCCCCTTTGAGCATTTGACCAAATTTCACCAGAAATTCCAATAATGTGGAAAGCGCGCGCGATTCGTGCTAATTCGAACATTGTTATACATAGTGTTGAGAATCACCTTCAAACTTGAGAACATTAGTGAGAAATCTCGGTGCACCCAAGAACACGTTAGTAATCAGGCCAAATCTCAGTCCAAGCTGCTGCAAAGCAGTTTTTCGCCGAAAATGCTGAGGGAGACACTATCACACGAGATTATCATCCAGTACTCGGGCATGCTAACCATGTGAACGAGAGCCAACAGAATTTGATTGCAATAATTAGCTATAGTAATGTACAACAACCTCAGCAAGCGCGCAGGCGGGGGGCACGTTCGCCGTGGTCCACAACAGCATAAGTAAACGGTCAGTTTGGATTGCACGCCGTCAGGAGCAGCGACCCAGTGATAGACAAACGGCTCCATGAGGATGGTGGCACAGAACCGTGCGAGCCAACAGCTGATGTGTGTGGGCGGGACGAGCAGCGTCGGCGAGCTCATCGAGCATGCTGAGCTTGAGCTGCATCTGTGGAGGCATACCCGGGGCGCACGAGACAGACGAAGGCCCGTTCGAGCTGTCCGACGTGTGCGAGGATATTGTTGGAACGCGCCAAGCCAGACGTCGGGTGTGCGAGTGGTCCGTACATGCGCCGCGCGATGCGCGGACGGGCTGGAGTCGTGAGGAATGGGTGGGCTGGACGCGTGAAGCATGGGCGGGCTGGACATTCGGTGTGCGTGCAGGCTGCCAGTGAATGTTTGATGTGCCGGCACGCTGAACAAACAGTCAGTGTCTCAGTGCAGTCTCGCCACTCACCTCGTCGTGGAACCCATTGTCACGACCATGAGTGGAGGCCTCTGCAGATGCCAACCCACGCAAGGCCGGAAGCAGTGTTGGGCGCGAGTCGAACGAGGGCGGCAGTGCAGGTAAGGATGCAGGCAGCGAGGGTGTGCGAGAGGCGAGGGTAGCCGCGGAGAAGTCGGAGGCCGCGACGATGGCGTTCGTGCATGGGAGGACGGGAGAGGTGCGGAGACGGCAGTGAGGATGGCGGGAGTGACGCAGGGAAGGTGATGGGAGGAAGAGAGAGGTGCGGGCGCGGGGCAAGGCCGCGTCACGGCATGTAGAGGGTGGAGAGGGCGCGCGAACGGGGAAGGAGCGGTGCGGGTACGACGCGCAGAGGGACAAGGGACGGGGACGACTCACCAGAGGGCGGTGGCGGGCGGTACGTCGCGGTGACGGAGCGGCGGGGACACGACAGCGCAGTACTGTCGCAGGTCGTGGCACTGTAGTCTGTGACAGGCGGCCGCGCAGCACGCGAGGATGCGGTGGTGCGGGTTGAACGTGGGAGAGGCGGGCGGTGTCTCGACCGTCGCGCGACCGTCTTGTCGTGTCCGTTGGCGGCGGCGGTGGGCGGGGGCACATGGGAGGTGCATTGCATACTTTGTGGCTGAGAACGAGAAGTTCAGAACGACCCAGTAACGTTGCAGCGGGAAACATGTCACATGACTGCTCGGCCGAGCCCGAATTCGGCGCCACGTCATGTATTCCGTGTGACTCTCCCTCCTCCTTGCCTTCTCCTTCAACTTGCCTCCGCCCCAACGCGAACCTCTAGCCCTTTTGTCCGACCATCGTCGACCATCATGATACGTCCCGTCTGCTTCGTTTCTCCAACTGAAGCACGCACCCTCCCACTTATCGCCCGCTGGAGCCGCCGTGGACCAGCAGACTGACCTCGGGCGCCCACTGTGCGAGCCCGAGTCGTCTGCTGTTGAAGCCGACCGCAAAGTCAGACAGCAAACGTGTCAAACACAGAATTTGAGACGGAGGAGGCGTACCTCCGCAAGGCGCACCTGACGCTGGACGACATCCCGGGTGCATGTCGCCCTTTGACGACTTTCTCTCCAGGAACAGTACGTCCCCTCCCTCCTCTCCCCTCCCCTCCATCCTCATTCGCTCTTGATACCCACGCTGACTTGCCTACACAGTTGTGGGCAGCAGCTCACCTCGCTCTGCCGCTACGGCCACCTGTCCGTGTGCAGCCTGAAGCTCGCCGAGTTCAAGTCCTTCATGTCGCTCAAGGGCCTGCACCCCGAGGAGCGCCGCGATGTATAGATCCCGCGCCGCGCGGAGTGGCAGGTGCGTCGGCGGATGGAGAAGAGTAGTGAGGATGTGACAAGTGTATGTTCGTTCTCTTTCTGTATGTGGTGAGTTCTGCTGATGGTGGACGTACAGGGAGCCGCTCAAAGACTTCCCGCCTAAGAGGATGTACATACCCTCTGGAACTGGCTCTCCGAGTAGGAGTGAGTGCAGGCGTGAATGAACAGATGAGCGGGGCAAGTGTGGGGTTGGACGAATGCAGCGGGCACGGGTATGGATGAGCAGGCGCGGGCGCTGCACGACGAGCATGACCACGCAGGGCAACTGCTCGGCGTGCAAACATGCTCGACAAACAACACCCAGTGGGAAGGGATGTAGGTACAGGCTCGCTAGTAGTCGTAGTCTACAAGAACATTGTCGTACTGTTACATTCAATATATCCAATGTTCCTAAATCCCCAGAATAACAGAAAGATGAGAGATAGACCGGATAATAAGTGAGAAACACTATGAGATCAGCTACAAATGAGGTGCAAATGCGTGAAAGGTGCTTGTATTGAGCGTTCATTGTCTATAATTGTTGCTATTTCTCAGACGACATCTCGAGGTAAGCTCATCTGAGATAAACGAGATAATGTAGTAGTGATCCTGATTCTCGATTTTTACCTGAAACTTTCGATAATTTCTTGTGATTCTCACATGGGATTTTCCTGATGTAGACTTCAAGTTGGTCACGGCAGATTGACTTCTAGTACAATACATGAATAGAGGCATGGAAAATCATACTGACATCTGCATACCTCGTATGGGCTGCCGCCGACCAAAAGAGAAGTTCATCGAGCACAGGGACCACTTACAGAGTGAGAGGATCGAATGACTTGTCGCCCTTTGTCCTAGTGGGTTCGTCTTCTCGGTGTATTGACGTGCACAGGCGCCATATAAGTGGGCGGGATCAGTGACCTATTATGCCATACCTCAGACACGTCCCGCGCAGATCTCGCCGGCAGCGACCCGTCATCCTGATGCTTACGGCATTGTTATCGCATCGACAATCAACCTACCGCTCAAGGCTAGGGACCTGCGCAGCTCACAACTCGTGTAACACAATTCGAAGAACACATAGTATACTATTATTTACGTAGGCACGACCATATACCAAAGCTAAGTGAAGAGTCATGAGTATGTACTCTCCGAGACGATGTGTGGCTGGTCACTCACGCTTCACACAGCAAAATCCGCTCACCGTGTTGCCGCCCAGCGCTTCGACACAGCAAGCCTCCGGGACTATCCATAACGGTCAGTGGTTCGTTGACTCTTCGCATGCTACAATTGACGTACCTGTCATGGCGGGGTCGTCCTGTGAACACTGTATGTTGTTCCCACAGATAGAAGACACACCAAAAGTCCCGGGTCAGCCGTGCACCGCCGTGCGCGCACTGGGAACAGACGACATCGCGCAAAGTCAAGACAGTCAGTGATTGTATGGACATATATAGTACGCGGCCCACTTACAGTAGTACTACATCCCCGTTCAACCAACTAGATGTCTCTTAGACATTGCTTAAGACAGCAGAGAAGCACACGGGAATTTGGCCAAACCTTCGGGCACAGCATGTCGACGTTGCGGTTGCTGAATGTGCCACAGCATCTGAGCGTCAACAACTTCCATATCAGGAAAGCCCGGGTACTCACCGCCGCGAACGTATAGCTTATTGGCCTAGCACGAGTAGCTTGCACGCAACTTTGTTCTTCGACGTGACCTTCACGGAGCGATTGCGCGCGGCTGGAAGACATCAGTGAGTACACATACATAATCTTAGAGAAGGAACTTTATGCTGACCGCGTAGCGGGCTAATCAACGCCGGAAATTGGATGGCTGGGACTAGTAAGCCACCGAGATCGGATGAGCAATGCCAGTCACCGGCGGGCAGATGGCTAGACGGTTGCGCAGCCGAGGGGCATAGTGGGGGTATGGATGAGTGAGTCCGTCCAGTCTGTGCATCAACACTTATACTGTTGATACCTGCTGCACGTCAGAATAAATCGGCTTGCACATGCACTCAGGCTAACCACGAACACCCGGTACCCACTAGCATATCAAGCTGTTGCCACAATTCGTGAGTCAACATGCATGTCATATTCCAAAACCGGTATATGAATATGAGATGATTGTGTGTCTTGCAACCCGATTAGTGGCCAATCCCTGCTGTGGCGGGGTGAAAGTGGTGATCATCATAGCCACCGGAACCTACTCGCACCACAGAATCATAGCCATGATCTTATCGGGCAGGTCCTAAGTATGAGACGGTACAACTGATGCTCTTCAACAATAGCTCAATGAGTGTACTCAGAGCGGATGCCATACCCTTCCCCGTTGTCCATCTGGAATTGTACCTCGCTGCTCGCTTCTTGCTCGAGCCGCTGCCCACGAGTTTTTGCCGCTCGATTCACTGCAGCAAACGGGGAAACGCTGCGGCAGGACTCACCCCATCACTCAAGACATGTGCGCTGTCTTTGCTGCTTGAGAGGGACATCCTCATCAGCGGAAGCTTGCACTCTGGGGACAGCCTCGTCAATGAGCAGCTCACAGATGAGAAGTCCGTGTAAGCTGCAACGTAGTGCTCATGATCACACGGGGAAGAGAGTCACCAATGGGAGGCAATGATCGTATCACGATGAATGGAAGGTCGCCCGCATCCTCTCTACAATGTTGCCGCCCATCCTGATCATACATCCAGGCAGCGCAACTGGCTCCACTTGCCTGCGTAGAGTATATGTCTGGCTTGGATGTTCGTGTATCGTGGTGCTTGGGCCTTGCACCCGCTTGCCGCTAGGGATCCTTCATCGAGAATTGAGGTTGCGCAGGCAGACCTGAATCAATGCCCAAGTCAGCACACATTGCTCCTGCACAACCACGCTGTTCCTTCTCCCAGCTCTGCTCGGGAGGAACGTAACAATTACCACTTCTCTCCGATCAAACCGCACGTACTGCACAATCGAGCCAGTAGCATGGCGCCGTGCACAAAGCAGAGCCGTGGCGTACTACGCCCGTGTCTCGAGCTGTGGCACCGGCGAGGCTACTATGCTTGACATGCGCAGCGGCACGCACGCTCGCTTCCGCGCGGACATGATGCACATTGCACGAACAGGCGACACCCGAAAGGCGGCGGTGATTTGAATGCCGACAATGCACTGATGCGCGAGCAAGCTATAAAGGCCATGCTGAGGATGCGCAGAGTGACCATCAGCGGGTCGCGTCCTTGGGTCGAGTGGGAGATTACTAACCGCATCTGACAGATGAGCTCATCCACCGTACGAGCCCATGGTGTCGAGCTCTTGACGGGAAGGTGCGTTGTATCCCCGCTGGCCGCGACGCGGACGTCACTGAACATGAGTGACCAGATCGCACTTCGCAGTGTTCATCGGCCCTGCGTGCGACGTCGACTTGGTGAGTGTCGTTGGAGCACACACAAAAGTTGCCTTGCTGATGCCTGCTTTGCGATCGCAGGCGGGGAGACACGCTGTCGGTTGGTTGTACCGCCAGGAGTGTTACACGGACGGGGGTAGGCAGAGCCGAATGAGGGAGTGTCGGTCGCGGGCTACAGGCGAGGTCGTAGTGTGAAGATCAGCACTCAGCCTTCCTCAGATACAGACGCGTAGAACGGAGCACATACCATAGTAGACACTCGCGATCCTCATCTATCATCTCCAGCTTCATTCTGCCCATACGCCTCCTCATCCTCCGCAACCAAACCGCAGCCGCGTCTTCGTTTTGCTTGTTGCGTGAAATATTGGATGTGAAAGCCCATAGCATGCGTCCCGTCATAGACAATCTAAATTTGCGCGAGCAAAGTGTTAGAGCGAGTGATGGTAACGTGGCCTGCTGAAAGTGGACATGAGCGAGCTGTACATACAGTTCGGCAAGGGCTAGTAATCACGATGCGTGTAGGCTTGACCGGATATCGCACCGATAAACCTTTTCTTCGCCGATTGACACCGTCGCATGGAGCATGCGCCGGGCTGTGACCATGGTGAGGACCGGATAGTAGAAACAAAACACAGATGTAGACAAAGCGCAATGGCATTCATCGGAACAACGAGTGTCGAAGTAGTCTCTGTATCACTGAGGCCGCGCAAGTGGAGTCCGCGATTAGCGTTCGAACAGGCCATATTCTCGCGGTAGAATATCATTGATACTGCGGGACCCGAGTCCCTAAGCGAGCGTGCATGAGAGCTGGTGTCGGTATGCAAGCAGCAGCGTTTGAAGTGGACACAACGGACAGCGTGCGGCCTCCGTTGGACGCTGTTGGTGGCGGCACGGTCACAGGTTCAGCGCGGCGAGGCGCA